GGGTCAAGCGTGTGCTCCCGGGTTATTCGGTACGTTTGCCCTTCATATGAAATCTGCTTTATTCCCTCGGGGATTGCGTTGGCAGCCGACAGCCTCAATGGCCGCTCACTAACCATTTTCGACCAGGTCAGGGGCACGCCCAAGGCTTCTTCCAACCGCACTTCTCGCGCTGAACAGCTGCGTAGCAAAACGGCCAGCACTGCAATCCTCGCCAGCGTTGTGGCAGCTGCACAGAGGCAAGGGAGTTCCTTGGGCGCTCTCGTCGCAGCTTCGCAGCTCCACAGACCGGACTTTCTCGGCCTTCCGTCAGACCGATCCCCTTGACGCTGAGCTCCACACTGATCGCCAGCCTCCTGATCGGCTTGCTCTCCGCACTCACACGGGGGTCCATTACTGCGCTGATCAGGGATGAGGAGCATTCCACATTGCCTCCCTCCTGACGGCCTGCTGCTGTCCACTGGGGGCAGGGTATGGTCCAGTATTGCGCTCCCGGGCACTGGTGGAAATCGCACAAAAACTGTGGTTAGGAATTACAGGATGTGATTCGACTTCAACATAATTTACCTTGCAATACACTGTTTCAATAATTTGGGCCGAATTATATGTTGTTGGAAACACGGTCAATGGGGTATCTGTTTGTCATCTGCTTGATGTTTTCGACAGTGCGGCACAGATGAGACAGCGCACAAAGAGACGGCAGTATCACGCAATGTTGCCGCATTCCATCAAGGTTGAATGCAACCTGCTTGTTATCGATTCAGCGGTTCAGCACCATTCACACATGGGGCCCACCTGTGCGCAGCACGCGTTTGCATTTGGGTCGTGGTTCACCGATTCTTCGAAAAAGGGAGCAGTTCCGGAATAGTGACGAGATCGAAAGCCCAGATTCAGGCCAGGGGTGATCCCACGTCAGCCCACAGCAACGCGAACCGCCCATGACAAATACCCCGGGGCCCCTCCAGCGTGGCCTGGCGCCTCTTGGGGCCAACCGCGGCCGCACACCCGTCGGCAGTCTCTCACCCCTCCTGAGCCTGGGCCGAAGCGGAGGGGGCGTGGAGACGGCACGACTGCGCCAGGGGTGGCATCGGTACGCCATTGAAACGGCGGACCCCGGCCTTTCAAGGGGCAACCGTACGACAAGACCCCCCCGCCCACCGGGCTAGGGTTCTGTGCATTCACAGCATAAGCCATTTCGCTTCCATGCTTGTGGAGGGCAATGCGGATGGCTCTGCGAGGGCAATGGGAGGCTGGAATTTCTCCAGATGAATTGCGGGGGCCGGAATCCACCTTTTGTACTCAGCGGAAGGCGGGGCTTCTCCAGTCTGCACCATCCTGCTGGCCTGCAAGGGGTGGTCTCGACCGTGGGCAGCGCCATCGCTGAAACCCTGTGAACGATGAAAATGTCGTTCGGCAGGGCCGCAACGCTCCTTCGCCTTTGAGAGCGATGTCGGATGGACAGGCAGCGAACTCAGGCCGAGTCGTGGCTGGTTGCCAGCGTCGAAGCTGGCGGAGCACCTGGAGGCTTGCTGGACCTGGGGTTCCGGTGCAGAGGCGTGTATGAGCGCTGCCTGACACAAACACACAGCCTGACGATCATCCCACCACCCAGTTACCTCCTGGTCAAAGCCAGGGGTTTGTCTCAGCGATCGGCGATGGGCCCAGGCGGCACCACAAGCAAGTACTTGCGGCCGCGGCGTGTACGACAATAACCCTGGAGGGTTCCGTCCAGAGAGTGCGCGAGTGCGAAGGGGGGTTGAGGGGGGGGGGGCGCGCGGGGAACGGACTAATTGCGCGCATCATCGCGAGGGTCCTGGTAAGATGTTCGGACATCTCGGCAGCCTCCGGAGAGCAGCGGACATGACTCGAACTGACGGATATCAGACGGTGGAGACCTCAGCAGCATACTATCCCGGCATTGATGCACCCCGTGCCAATTCAAGCCTCGCACCACGCACGGCGATGCATTCCGTAGCAACATGGATCCAGCTCGAAACGGCGACGCCGACGCCGCGACGTCTCGTACCCCAACGGCACTTCGCTTTCGAGTCACACTGGCAATGGGCAAGATTCGATGCCAAGGGACAGCGGGCAATGGCCGACAGCGCCGCGATTGCAGCCCACCTTGCTCTCTGGCAGCGCCAACCGGGATGTCCTGGGTCCTCTCCGCCGCTGCTCCGCCGCGCTCCGGACGTTGGAAGGTCGCCCTTGCGCCTGGGCGCCCCGCGCCCGTGCAACCGCACCCCTCTTTATATGCCGACAACCAGGGGCGCCGCGGCCCCGTGCAGCCTATCCTTCCGTACTAACCCACGTCACCGGCAGCGTGGCGCACGGTGCACCGCAGGAACCCGGAAGGGTCGCGGCTCGCGCGGATCGGCGATTCTGTCCCGGATTGCCGTGCTTGATCCTGCCATGCCGCGTGGGCCGAATCGCCAGGACGCCCGCGTCCCGCCCCTGACGTACAGCGCCCCACCGTGCATGGCGGAAGGTGGCGCTGTCGAAAGGGCAACCGAAATCAGACCAATTTAAACAGCGTATTTTCTTCCAGAGCCCTAGGCCATTCGGGGCTGCGCCCTTCCAGCTTGAGCTGAATCACCAAAATTAAGCGACGGAGCTGTCCACTCCCCACCCACTTTGGGTACAGACGAGGATTGGGTGGGTGGATGTGGGTGCCAAGGGCCGGAGTGGTGGAAGACGCGTTCCGGTAAGTGTGCCAAGAACCCCATCGACCCACCCAGCCCACGTGCCTATGTGATGTGTACACGCAGCGCCAGCGTACGCTGGGTGCGGGTGCATCTACGGCATTAGGAACCTTCTGGGTGCAACTCAGCCCAAGTCGTTCCTTACGCTGACTCGCCCCAAGCCGAGGGCCACATACGCCCTTGCGGAGCAGCGCCCTTCCCAGCCGCGACCGTGGTTGCAGCCAATTGGCTACAGCCAATTGGCCTGATTGCAATCAGACCTGTGTAGCCATTTGGCAACAGCGGCCTGGACGCCCATCCGCGGCGCGGCCCGCGATCTCGGCCGAGATTCGCTCAGATTGGCTTCCGAGCAGCCTACACTGTGCCCTCCGCAGCGGTTGCTGTGCGCCAAACGCTACGAACAACGACGGAGGGGGTCTGGGTATGGACGTGGATGCAGAAAGAGTGTTCCGCAGATGGCCTGCAGAGGTGGGCCCGGAAGCAAGAAAGGTATGATGGAAGCAAGATCTATTACACAGCCGTGGCAATGGATTTCGACGCTGGCAGTGGCTCGAAATGTAAACCCTCTTTTAAGAAAGCTGGTATAAGGTTCAGGGTTTTAAGTACTTGCTTACATCAATTTTTCCTGTAAGGATGTTATGTATAACACGTTTGCAACCTTAGGGTCTGCTGACTGTGTGTTCGACACTTTGCCCACTCGCAAGGGCGGCCGCATCCCCAGTCCCTGACGCACACTTCAGCGCGGGGCTGTCCTTGCACAGTGCAGTTGCAAAAGGTGATGGGCCAGGGAATCTTACGTACTTTGATGCACGCCACCAAAGCATGCGGTTGCCAGGGTGGGAGAACCCTGGCATGAGGACCCCAGATGTTGGCCGCGGTGGAGAACTGGCTTCTTGGTCTGGGAGCTGTCCGATGTTGCTGGACGCAAGAGGACCCCGGAGCGGCTCTTAAAGCACTGGAGACGGCCACGCATCATGATAACGATGGTCCGCAATGTGTTTTGGGGCCTTCTGCACCGCTCTTGTAGACTTGCGAAAGGTGCTGAAACCCTTTCTCACGCACTGAACTTTACCGCCAGGTTTGGCTTGGGGTGTTTGAAGTGCTGCATGCTGTTCAAACTGTGCTGTTCAATGTCATTGCTCAACGGGATTAACATGATTCAGCACATTGGATGATTTCAATGGTAGTGAGCACTACTGCGTTTTTGTGAGTCACATGTACATTCGTGCTTCACTGCACATTCCTGGCTGCACAGTGCATCATCTGGATTTCACTTTACACTGTAACACTCCTATCTCATCCAAACAGTCAAATTCCAATGCAAAAAGATTCGTCCAGATCTCCATTTTATCTGTCACGAACTTCTATTTCTGGGCAACGACACGTCCATGCCCTGGCAGACATCTAGGGCTGGCGATCGCCCATTGTCAAACTTTACAGATTTCTTTCTTGTTTTTGTAGTCCGGAAGATTGCATTAGGATCATCCAACTCCGAGTCGAGCACACCTCATGGGCCAGTCGTTTAGTTTATGAGTGGGCTGGGCCAGGATGTGGCTGATGCTATTGGGTCTGCGTCATATTGCACACCATTGTATCTTCCCCAAGTTTCGGTATCGGCATGACAGCCGAATCACTTCTCAGTTGTAGCTAACAATCCGGATAGCAGGGATGTGTCGTGTACCATGCTTTTGACGTACCCTACCACAACCCGCCAGCGATCCAGACACTGGGAAAAAAGGGCCAAATAACACGTGTTCAAACGCGTACAAAGTTTACGGGTTTGGTTTATTTTCGTGTTGTTAGCGTGCATAACACTGATGAAATGCATACGTACGTGTTCTCAAAAGTTGTTTTTTGGTCCCTTTTTGCTAGTTAGAAGGGTTCTTTTTCGTTCCATGTCCAAGGTGACGCCTGCTTGGCGAAACACTATTTCGGGACACGTGGGATCAGCAACCGTTTCTTGGGGCCACTTTTTTACCATCAATTTGCGACGGTGCACTCAAGTGTCACACGTGCGTGCATCTGGCGAACCATCCCACCGCACTCTGCTGCATGGTGCCGCTGCTACCCATTGCCCTGTAGAAACATTCCACCAAATATGTGGTAAAGAAAGCGCGGCTTTGGCTCATTTCGAATGCGGTTTACATTGCCAGCGAGCAGTTTTTTTATTTTGTACGATTCAAGAGCACAATCGAGTTGTAAACAACGACCAAATTACCGCAAGTTTATTGGGGCCCCAATGCGACCTTAACACGCAACGAAGACCCTCCAATTGACCCATTTGCGCCAGCGTTGTTCGCCCTAGCACCAAAACCCCAGACCGCCTCCGTCACACGACAGCGCCGCCCTCAAGGTCTCATTGACGGCCGATGGCGGGAATTTCCTCGCAAAGAGATGGCAGGAGTAGTTCAGTGCCACATAGCCATGATCGGCGACCTGCACAAGGGTCACAAGATTGGGGCGTTATGGCGATCCCGATACGCCCACCTTTCTGGGAAAAATGGTATGTGACTCAGTCCTTTACTGTACTTGTCTGCACCAGAGAGCGTTCGATACGACAGTGAGGACACGGGCCCATTGCTGTCGCATCAGAGGTGGATGCTGCCGCATCAAAGGTGGATGCTGCCGCATCAGAGGTGGATGCTGCCGCATGAGTGTGCAGTTGTGTTGTCGCAACTGCTCAATCAGGCATCCCAGGTAGTGGCATCTGCGGGTATTGCAACGTACGATAGCTGTCACACGAGGTGACTGCTTGTGATGATCGCCACCTCCAGCACACTGACTTGCTATCCCATTGGATAGCTCGCTGGCCAGCGCTCTCTACTGCCAAGGTCGTGGCCATGGATGTACAATGCTACACCATTTTGCGCAATTGAACGCTTTGTAAGCCGGGACAGGTATTGCTCGAAACGGATCAGTGTCGCTCTCGTGGCCTGCACGAAGCATGGTAAACAGCAATGGCCAACCGGACAAGAATGTCAATAGCGCGATTGATGTCGCGAGATCGGTTCGCTACAGCGCGTTTTTTCCAACATGTTGTGTTTGTCTGGCTCCATTGCGTTCATATATGAATGCGTATGCCGTAAGGCATGCCGCGACGCCTGTCTCCACATTCAAAGGCCGCCTGCGGCCAGGATTGGCCGTTTGCATGATTTCATTCCGTAATTTGTTCATGTGTCATTGCTAGAACTTGTAAATACAGCGCATGGATGCAGTGCCTCACCCACGAGGGCTCCCCGCCATCAGACGCCTCGTCCCAGGCTTCCGCAGAGTCGCACATCGGCGACCCCCCGCTCAGACAGCCCGCCGAGTGGACGCCCTCAAACAGTGCCGCCGATGACTGAAGCGCCGGGCCCCACTCGCATTGAAGCTGCCAGCCGCACTGGATGCTGCAGAAGCGGAACAAACAAAATGCCGACTGAAGAGCAAGCAAAACGACGCATCCAGCCAATCACAAATGTGAAAGCACAAGCCACTGTCGGCAGCATTCATGCGACTGTAGACAAGCACATCTACGGACCACCGGAGATCGCACCACCCCGTAGAGGGACAACTAGGTAAGGAAGATTTTGGAGGGGAACAATGGTTGTGATCCGAAAGCTTCTGCCGGATTTGAGCTTGCAGGTCTCAACTCCTTCGCAGCAGAGCCTATGCGCGCCTGAGTGGGTGAGTAGTGATTTGAACTTGTTGCAGCTTTCAACCAAATACAACTGAGTTGTTGAAGGTGTTCTAAGCCACGGATCAGCAACAGTCTGCATTGGCCCCATGATGCTGTGCTGCGTGCTCTTCGCAGCGTCCTTTTGCCTCAATTCTCACCAGTGCCAATGTGTTCGGCAGTGGCAACCCCACTCAAGGGTGGGGTTCCAGTTTCTTTGTGCTTGTCTTTGTGCTGCTGTGTGTTGGTAGCTCATCAAGTCATGGTAGTTTCCAGCGTTGACAGTTGACGTAACCTACTCAGCAGGTTCCTCAAGAGATGGCCACAGTACTCTGCGCGAGCATGGTCTCACCTCCTTATTAAATCGGGTGTCACTTCCTTTGGATGGAATGTCTTCGGATGGTAGGTGTCTCCCGACCATTGCACTCGCGTGGAAGATCCTCTACAGTCCGTCTGCAGCAGGGCCACAAAAACGATGCAGCGCTCACGAGGTCACCGGCAGTGTGAGCATGTTGCATAAAACTACTGATTCACCAGCTAAGCACAGCGCCATGCCGCTTAGTGGCTACTAATCAGAGTGGCAAATTACCTGCCCACATGGTCCGAAAGATGTTGGCACTGGAAATGGGATTCTTGCGGCCTACAGGCCGTCGCAGTGCATATTGACTCACTTTGCACTGGGTGTCATGGCGCACTGCAGCAGGTTTGCAATCTCGTAGATGGGCATTTTTCAGGCGCATCACCAGCCAATTACCATTCACATTAATTCAATACACAGGTAATCTAATTCCCTATCTAAAGCACAAATTCTCAACAATCGGCAGGCAGCGCGTTGCCGCTGCTGGCAACGAGGCATGCAGCTCCTAATCGGCTGCGCAAGGCTAACTTTCCGCATGGAAAATACGAACAGAACTACAGAGGGTAATATTTCAAAGTGCTTCATAAGTTTTCCTCTGTGCCCGCGTTTAGCTGTTCATGTGTCGATGGCCTTCAGTTTTAGGCATCATGGACATGAAGAGTAGAAATATATGTAGTTAGGCTCAGAGCTTGGCGGTCGCTAGCCTTTAGGATTAAAGCTCTTTAGGTTTACTGTCAACTTTTTAGGGTTTAGCACACCGTATCCCTGCATGCTTCATACCCTTCACAATTTCCACATCCGTTCTTTCCTGCAGTGGAAATTGAGCCCTCATTTTTCATGGAGAGCGATTCTGAGGTGTTTCTGTTGTTCCAGGTGAGAAAGTGAACAATGTGATATATATTCACACCAATGTACATGGAACCAAGCCCGACATCTAAAGTAGGTGACAAAGCGCGTGACAAATACTGCCCTTGCACCCAGAGGGCAAACCGCCTTCTAGGTCCAAGGGCACGGATCTGCTGCATCCTTGAGGCAAATGAATCACAAGGTTCATTAACCCGCAGCGCCGAGCTGAATCCCCAATATATTTCGCAAGCGACGGTGACGCATGGATAACACGATTTCGCAAAGCGAAGTAACCAATTCTTCCTGCCGCGTTGACGCTGTGTCGCTGCCCATGGCATTGCCCACACACGCAGAAAGACAGGCCTCCAGAAACAGGGCAGGAAGACTGCTCGGCAGTACATGTAGCTGGTGTCTATAATTAGTCATGCAGTCCGTCAACATGTTGCCACGCCCCAAATTTCCTCTCATTCGCCATGACTGGCACACATTCAACACAAGATCTTTGATCAACACATTTCGGTTGATGACTCTTGACCAACGACGTGCGAAAGTTGATGGTGACACATGTGCCAAGTCTAACCGAGTCACTACTTGAACATGCATCACAACTACCAAAAATCAAAGACTATACAGAATCAACACCGCATTGCCCAAACGCTGTAATATGCAAAGGCGCTGGTGTAAATCAAAGAGCTGTTCTTGGCAGCGCCCTGAGCGTGCTCCACCTGGTCCTCCAGCCCATAGGATGCCAGCAACGTCGGGATGTAGTGCTCATCAGACACACAGAACTTGACGAACCCCTTGCGTGGGGCGGATGCCCGTTTGCTGTAGCAGTACCTCCTGAAAATCTCCTTCACGTGCCCGTCAGCCATCACCAGCTCGGCGTGGCCTCGATTCAGAACGGTCCAGAACTGGGTCTTCCTCCAGTGGGACACATTGAGGTGGGCTGTCTCCATCTCAGGGCTCCACCTGCACTGTGCAAGAATGGCCATTCTCAAACTGGTGTTCCATGTTCGAAAGGCAGCAAATTGTTGAAATTACGGCTGGGTAATGCAAATTGAGTTGAGACTAGGAAAATCGCGCACTGTTGAATGCGAATTCGAAGTAATTATTCCCACAAACCTGCAGTTGTGCCTGTCCTGACTCGGGTAGGACGGGAAGCCCTGTGTGCACAATCAACGGGGATGCCAACCTCTTTTGCAAAAGTGTTGTTTGCGGTTGTCCACACTCCTGTTTGGATGCAGATGGGTTGGGCAGCATTCTCTCGTCATCTGCTCGCTTTTGGCATCTCAAGTTCATGATCTTGGGCAGCCAAAATTGTATGCAACGTCTTGCCTGTGGTGCTGCCACCCTCATATGGCAATGTTGCAACAAAATTGCCAAGCTTCACCATTTCATGGTGCAGGCCGCAGTTACTGACTGTGCCTTTGCATTCTGGCACTGCGCTCCCCGCATTCTGCTATTTTCCATGTGGTAATCTGCCTCGAGCATGGGCGTAATGGTGGGCGACTGTTGGGCAGAAGACATCGCGGGATGCACCTATTCCCATGATGGTTCTCAAGCTGTTTGAAGATTGGAGTGTGAACGGCCAGGTCGACAGTGCATGGTGCACGGACACAGCTGTCATGCTTTCCTGGGCATTCATAGTCAATGCGGGCGACTGCATTCAAGGAACAGGACGATAGAATTCTGAACATGCCGCACCCAATCGTCCCACATCACATACCTGCCCGCCATCCTCTTTCCCAACTTGCACGCATTGACGCGGCTCTTGCTTTCATGCACCAGCTGCAGGTACACGATCTCCGGCCTGTACAGAGGGATGGCGGACTCGGACAGCATGACAAATTTCTCATTCAGGGGGTCCTCAAGGGCCTCCGCCATCATGCGCAACTGTGCCTCTACAAGGGCGAACTGCGCAAAGCTGTATGACGTGTCCGCAGGGTTGCGTATGCGCCGCCCTCTGAACAGGCTTCCAGTGGGGTAGCGGTAGCCCAGTGGGGCGTTCACGTAGATCGAAAACAGGCTCTGGCTGGCCACCGAATCTCCCCTGTCTGCAGTATCAAGACGTGGGTTGGACAGGTGAATGAGCTGGAATCCCTTGTGTGTACTTTCCTTGGATGAACAAAGTAGGACCCACGTGGCTTGCAGGCCATGATGGGCGTGAATACAAGGTAGGTGTCCCAGGGCAGGACAGGAGTGTATACGTGGGTGACTGTGCGACAGAGTGCATGCATGTGAGCAACAGCGCGAATCACAGTGGTTTGCCATGCATGAATGCTCCAAACCAATGAAATAACAAATAGTCAGAAGTGACAGTTAATACTTGGATGGATACTGAGACAGGTTTAGATTCTAGGGGCCAGCAGAAACTACACCAATCGGTAATACAAATTGCAACCTCTACATATTGGTGAGACAAAAGAGTACTTCAGTGCCAACCCGATCACAGCCAAAGGAGGAGGCACAACATGCAATGCACATTAGACTACAGCGCTAATACATTCAAATCCTGCATTCATACACATAAATGAACCATTGTCCACCAGTCAGTGGATCAATGCCCATCAGCGATTCAACAAACCAGGATAAATAGGGCACGGTAATTGCAAGGTAATGCCAAAAGACCAACAGCCCAAACCAAGCCAAGCTGATGATTTTGGCAATGCTGATTGCAATCAAAATAAACGCAACAAAATCGCAGACATGGCCAACACATTTGCGCATGATAGGCTCCCACAAGACAGCCATGTCACACAGTCACTATGTGAACGGAGCAGGGACGTGCGAACAGCATGACTGCTGTGAAGGGAGCCATCGTCTCAGGGGAAACACCAAGGTCCAGGAAACAGGAAGCACAGTTTCTGAAACTTAAAATTCTGTGAAACGAAAAAGTTCATCCAACCTTGCAGCAGCCTCTCGACCTCCCGGTCTAACAGTCCCAGATCCTCCTGGCCACACCTTGGCACCCCACTGCTTACCCCTCTTCGAGACTCCGATTCTTCTGGATCCTCAACCAGCCCCTCCCAGCCCTCCACATCGACTTTGGACTGCGTGTCTCTGGCATCAGCCCGCAGCAGATGAGGCCGTCTGAGCCTGGGTTTATTGCTTAGGTCATCTGGGACACTTTGCAGTGGGGGTTTCATCTCCCCTCCGACTAGAGAGGTGAGGTTAACTGGTGGACGCAGGCTGGGCTGGACTTTGAGGGTCAGTCTGCTTGCTGCCTCAAAGAATGCTCGCCACACAGGTTCGTTGGCCATTGGGCCAAGGGTCAAGAACATGAATGCCACCTGCAGGTTACGCCTGGAGCATGAGAGACAATACGCAAACCAAGATTCTGTAGTTGCCATGTTCTTTCCTCAGTTTACGGGCTGTTTGGAAACCACCCATCGCTGGAAGTTGTCTCTCTCAGCAATGACTGCAGGGGGTGTGCCTGAGGAGGAAAACAAATGCAAAGTGCCATGTAGGGCTGCAGGTCATTTCCACTGACTATGTTGTCGATGAATGTTCCCATCAAGATAGCACAGCTACACCATGCAGTACAAGATTGAACGCACAAAGCAGACACAATACAAAAAATCCGCTGACAAAATGCCCTTTCAGCACAAGGGAACAAAGGACACAGTTCACAGATTCAGAGCACCATCCAAATCTGCTTGGAATTTTTCAGCCTTCTGATGTGTCGAGTTTCAAGTCCAGTTTTGAAACTGTGCTGGATCGTTGAAATAATGTGCTAATCGTTATTCATGCCAATTCCAAGTCTGCAGTGGCTCACCTTGGGAATGGACATTTGCGCCATCTCCAAGCCATTGCCCTGCAGCGCATCGCCATGTGCCGCATGGGCGGCTGGAAGTGCCACTTGTGCAATGTTCCATCCAGCCTTGGACCCTGCCATCAGAATTCCTGAGCAAAGCAAGGGATGCCTTTGCACACTTAGCCCTGCCAACCATCCCATCAGGAGGACAGCATCAGAATGCTGTGCGATGGGCAACAAAATCAAAGCTTCACAGCAGCAGCACTTGTGTCATGCCCTGTGAAATCAGCACTACATGCAGGTGCTATTGATTGCATAGAAATAGAACTGCCGCAGTTGCAAACTTCAAGGAAAACGTGTTTCAGGCCAATGTTTTAGTGCCTGGCTGCTGTCCAGCAGCGATGGATCTTTGCGACAACATCTAGTCCGTTTCAGGGAACCTGTGTTTGCATCTGGAACTGAGTTGCTCACTACTTGTTCAATCAGAACCCGAAAATGGGGGAACAACCAAGTCCAGCACATGTACAAGGAGCACAAGGAGCAATCAGTCCAATCGAAAGCATCTTTATTTAAGCAACACCTACCTTGGTGATCTTGAGCAGCAGGTTGGAGCCACCTGATGCAGTCCAGTAACTCCCATCACTCACTGCGTGGCACTGCCTTTCTCACCCCTTCCCCACATACTTACAGTGATCTTTGAAGACTTCCGCATCATTTTTGCAGTGGTAAATCAACTCACAGTACCCTTTCAGCCCGATTGGGTACAAGACACAACACTAACTAATCTTGCCTTCTACCTACTGTCACCATATGGGTACTCCCTGTAACAGAAGGGCGGCAATTGTGAAAGTTGTGGTGTGGAGATGGGCTAGCAATGAGCAGATGCAGGGTTGAAGTTCAGTTTTAGCAAGAACGAATATGTTGCACAATGGACACACCTATCCTGAGCGAAATGGTGAGATTTTGTTAGAAATACTGGGAAAAGGCTTGGACACATGGCCACCAGGGACACTCCTCATCAAGGCATGGGCAGTGGTGAGCACATGATTCTCTACTGCACTTCCATTTCCCTCAGTTCTTCGAAGTTTTCAGATGTCTTGAGATGCAAATTTGCTGGAGCGAACATATGGAGGAGAGGGGTCTCATCATCGCCTTGTACATTGTACGGTACCATTGCAGCCACAACCCTTCCACATTGGAAAATTCTACTGTTACCCACAATTTTCTTTCAGAGCATTATCTTGTTATTTTTACCTTGTTCCGACCAAGTTTCATTAAAAGCGTTATTTTTTGTTGTCTCTGCAAAAAGGGCCAAGTGTTACTCTGTGGAAGGATTGAATATAGTATGCTACTGTTCTGCTCCTTCAAAAACACCATCTAAGCACAATTTCATGCCTCGATTACTTGGGTTGCCATGCTTTTCCTACTGCCTCCAATTAAGTGCATCATGTACTCATTTGAGTTCCAGCTGCGCAGCGCGGCACGATCTACGGAAGGAGATATGCTTGCATGGAGATTCCCTGGACGAATGTATCCTTGTGTAGAGATTCCATGCAAGGAGGGATGTTTTCATAGAATGATTGGGCCTCTTAGGATACTGCAGCCCCAGAGCACCTGTGCCCTTGCTTTTCGTGCTGCTTATTTTGGTGTGGCTTCTGCGGTGCGCTTTGGAAACGAAGAAATGAACCACATAAAATTGGCTTTTTGGGTGGATTGGGGTCAGGCTGGGTCGGGGTGGGCTTGATGCGCATCTCTCCATTTTTTTGTTTGAATCAATTGTTTGGAAGCGCGAGGCCACAGTGGCGCACAGCCCACGAGGACCTGGAGCATCAAGAAGACTGGGAACAAGCCAGAAAAAGCGCGTGAATTACGACTAACGCCGTGCTGGGCACCCCTCGATGTCACCCACCCACCCACCCACCCTACCCCACCCTTCCCCCCGCTTCCTGCCTCCCCATCCCGTCCCATCCTCACCTGCGCTGGAAGCCTGCCGTCGCGATCCAAGTCACAGCCGCGACTGCCGTCAGGGCCGTCCACTTCCAAATCCTCACCCCGCGCCTGACCCCGCCCCGCGGCGGCTCCGCGCGCCATCCCCCACCGCTCTCGCTCCCAGCGGTTGTCCCCGAACGAGCCCGGACGACGGCCATGGCGATTGCGGATTAAAAACCGAGCCCAAGATTGGCTTGGCTTGGCTCGGCTGATCGTGGGCGCGCCCAGCCTGCCGCCTCCTGCGGCTGAATTTGGACGATCGATCGCATCCCCGTGCTTGGCGAGGCGTGGTTGTGCTTGGGACCTTTACCCCACCCCCGGTTGTCTGTTAAACCACCCGGCGGGGCGCCCATGGGCGGTTGTACCACACTGGTGTGGGAGAGCCCTGTGATAAAGTACGTGGAGGATGGAGACGAATAGCGACCAGGCAGCAAATCGGGATATCCCAGATATGCACGCATCAGCCCCCCCACTCGTCTCTATTTGTATCCAGGCGTGGTAAGCGTTGTTACGGCTAGAACTGATTGAGTGTTACTAATAACTGAATGCATGAAAAGATGACGAAGCACTAGGAATTGCATTAAAGATGTTGATGAACAGACTGAGTATAAAGGGCGGAATGTCTCTTGTCCTTTTGCCTCGGCTGTAAACCGTTGCCGTGGACTCGAGCGTAAAATTCCCGTTCAGGGATCGCCACCCCTCGATCCTGCCTGCCCTCGTCAGCGTACATTGGGGTGGCCTCTTTAAGGCCGCCCTGAATAAGGCCAAATGGTCAGTAAACGCCGGTCAACATCGGCCATATCTGGTGGCACGACCTAAAGTACTAGAAAGACGTGGCCACAGGCAGTGTGAGCGTGTGGGGGGCGCCGCCATGCCTTGCCTCGAACGCAAGAAGTGCAGACTGCCCTATCATGACACCCCCCAACCCCCTCACTACACTATACACAAGTGCTCTGGGTGTGATGAGTACCTCCACGGGATCTGTGGGAAAGTCGATCCCGACGTCGATTCAGAAATCGATAGTGTGCGTAGCCTTTGCTACAACCATGCTGTAAGGTTGGCTCCCACGTCCACGACAATCAGAATGTCGTGATGTGAATGCTCAAGCTTGCCGGGCCATTTCTGCCCCTGGGCGGCAAGACTTTGTGCCGTGCTGGTCGTCCGCAGCCCAGGATCCTCGGGACCCGAGGATACCCGGTATCTCGTACACCGGGCACTCAGGCCTTTAGCGCTGTGTTAACGCGAGCGCAGGGGCGTTCGCAACCCCATAGCAACGGTCACCCAGTTCAAAACGATTCTCCTTCGATTGGACGATTGCTTATTGACAATCAGTGCTACCAAGTAAAGTACTAGGCTTCTTATTGGGCAACGCATAAAGTACTAACAATATTCTGATATCAGAATACCCTTAAAAATAGTCAACATATGCACTATATGACGTTAAATGTGCGGTAAATGGCTTCTACAGTCCTAAATGGGCTGCAGACCTCAATGAGGACAATGGTGAATAAGGCCGGTGGAATGGGGGCGTCACGGGGCGGCCTTAAAGATGCCACCCTACTGTATATTCGTGTATTTGGCGCAATGGTTTGTGGCGGATGGACGGCTGCGACCACACAGGAGTTGAACAAGGCGACGTGGAACCCTCGCACGGAATTCTCCAAAATGGGCGTGCAGAACGTATTGCATGTGGTCTAAATGAAGCACAATGTACGCCACGCTAAAGAAGTACAATTGACCTCCTGTTGAAGTGCAATGTGAAATATGCGAACAGGAAGCAGAACAAGTGCGCTGCGACATTGGGGTCGCCAAAGCTTTGAAGCGCAAAACACGCAACAAACACGCGTGAAAGAGCCCCAATGGCGGTAGAATCAACAACTGTCGTTCTCAACAAAATCAACAGCACAATGAAATTCCCTGAACGTCCCTGCAAGTTCTGTCCCTCTTGGCCGGGGGGGGGGGCCGGCAACAGCGCCCGTTTCAAGCGCACTTCAAGCCACCTTCCTTATTTCTGATTTGCAGCCAATGCCCGTCCTTATTACTGCCAAATCTGCAAGCTCCCCAACGCACAGTGCCGGTGGTTCAAACGCCGCCGCAGGGAACAAACCCGCAGCCAGTTTGGGCGCCAAAGTGCAGCCGTGCCTGTCCGCCCAGAAGGACAAAAAGCAAACCAAGTGGACTGGTTCAGTGGTTCCCGGCTGTATGAAACTTTCCCGTCTCCGTAGCAACACTTCGAAAAAAGCTGAAAAAAAAACGCTGTGGGGAAAACTCGCCAAAAAACAACGCCGCAAAAATGCTGTACCCTGGTCCCCATGTTCGAAATGCAGCAACCGGGTGGGCTCCAGCTCGACCTGGACGCCCTCAGGCGCCAACTGTACAGAGGTCATTGGGATGCATCCCTCACCAGCAGGCCAACATCAATCTAAACACTAAGCAGCCAGCGACAATCACATCACGGAATCTTCGTTTTCTAAGCGGTGGGCAAAAGCTTTAAGCCTCTCCACCCCCTCTCCCCTCGTCTCACACGTGTGATCACGTTCCCTAAGGCCTCTAAAACACCACTCCTCACCCTCAGCCACTGGACCCGTGCGCCCCGAGGGGCTGGATGAGCCCCAAGCGACAGGCCCTACCTTCGCCCGGGGCACAGAAACCCTGGGTGATGGCACTGGCAGTTGTGCGTCGTCTCCCGATCTGCATGCATCAATCGATGGCGATCCGCATGGATCAGGCTTTTCGATTGCTCCCAGGCCTGGGCCAAAGGTACTGGAGGTCCAGGTTCAGGTAGCCAGAGTCCGCCCTGTTCTTCAAGTAGCACTCTCTGTCGTCGGGGGCGCAGTCTTTGCAAACGCCGCAGGTCTTGCGGCACACTCCTAGTGCGCCATCCCCCACCAGGTCTCCTTTCTGCGCAGAGCACAGGCAAAGCGCACTGGTGACATGGCTCCAAACGATCTCCACACAGGCTGCAGCTACAGTTGTGATAGAACTGCCAAGCTCTCAACTTCAAGCTCTTCAACTTTAAGGGCTTCAAGCTTCAAGAGCTTCTTTAACTTCAAGAGCTTCAATGTTGTCAGCACAGCTGTGCGTTGCTATGCAATCCGCAGTTCTATGCAGAGGACACAACGACAGAATGCAGCAGCGAACAAGTCTCGGATTTGGGGCGCCCAACAAACCGTCTCCTTGCAGAAGATGGCGTCTTCACTAAGCAGGGACCATTCTCACCATCCCAGTGCCTATACTTGCATTTACATCGACATGGACTCCTAATTACGTTTACTTGTATTTGCTTGCATTTAGATTCAGGCATTCGACGAATACCCTATGGGTACAAGGGTACACAAAACATGGGAAAGCAGGCACGCCTATCCCTGAGATGATCAGTTGGGCAAGCACCCTGGTAAGATGGACAATTTGCATGACTTGTTAAACACTAGGCGACATTTAACATCACCTGAAATGCGCATTTTAGCGTTCCGCGCTGTGGAACGCACATCTTCCATGTCAAATGCATCTCTGTTGAGGAATCATTCACATTCACATTCAGGCACGCTTACAAGCATCCGCATCCGTATCTACAGTAGACCCATATTTCACACGCCTGCAATGAACATGCTGGACACAACTGCATATTGTGGGCCCTTGGGCTCGTGGCGGACGGAGCCCACCAGATTGATTGCATCAGCTTCGCAAAGGCCCTCATCCTTCAAGGCGGGGCATCTCTCGTCGAAGTCCACGCACGCCCCCGGATCTTGTGGCGCCCAGTCCGGTGGAGGGGGATAGAAAGCGTCGGCTGGTAACGAGAGCCACAAACGCTTAGCCAGCACCGGGGCTCAAATGCATGCCCAGAGAGCACTATTGAGAGACAGCTCTTGTTTGCAGCCGCTTTGAGCCATTTCCAACCTCTCTGGCTTTGTCTGAATTGTGTTCGTTTGTTCCAATGCCAGTGGCGTGCTACCATGAACCGACTTCGCACCAGTTCGGCCCTGTCTTTGGTGCAATTTTGCGCCGGGGCGCCTAAAATGCTGCCTGGAACAAGCTGTGGTCGTTTGCTGGACTTCCAATCCAAAGATGAATGCTGGTACTGCAACATATGTGGTACAATCGACTGCTTGCACATCGCTCGATTAGGTTTCACGCAACGCTGCCCTGAATTCTGACGCAACAGATTATACGTAACGAGCACTACACCTGGCATACACAATGGCCTCTTGAACCACATATGCATTCATTATGCGTTAATGCCTCAACGTTTTGTGGCACATCTACATTCACCCAGACTTCCACAATTAATTGCCGGGTAAGTGCGGATCGACAATGCTTGATGTGGACACTCTGGGGCCGATGGCTGGCGCCGTTGCTTCCACCGTTTGCACCATGTGGCTCGCACCTGCTTAATCGGTCAATGATAGCCATTGGGAACATTCTTGCTGTGGATTTGGATTGGGGATTCTTTTGCACATGCAACCGGAGACTGGGCACACACCCAGGATATGTTTTGGACATAACTCTTGCGATATATACTCTGGACATCTCGATCTCAAGGATATTGCAGAGTCGCTTGTCGTCAGGTTATATTCCCTTCAGGTTGCACTTGTTGTTTCAAACGACGTTCGACACTGCGCGTCGGACGGTTTCATGGTGCGGCAATTCAAGAATGCTCACTTCGCTGTTCACAAGGACTGAACGGCCATTTCCCCTGAGGCTAAAGGGGTGCCAAGTTGCCACTGCTCGACAAACAGTACAACTGTCACCAGTAGAAAACGACACATATGTGCCAACTGCGATGTCATTTGAGATCAATTGATGCCATCGCACCTACTTTTACGGCATCGCCTTCGCTGTGATAGCGCCACTATGTGTCAAAATGGCGTCGCAGTTGGCATCGCCAACATGATGTTTTCCGATAGTGTGTCCAGCCAACCAGAAACACGCAAGACGATTGCTTTGTCAGCCGTTCTTCAATTTTCTTCGACTGGAACGGACTCACCTCTGAACGCCGTTTCATGTATCCAGATGGTTGCTGTCCATTTCGTGCCGTTCTCCACAGGGCAGCCCGTGTGCTCGGACATGAAGTCCTCGGCACCGTTGGGCTTCAGGGAATAAAACAGCAGGGCGTCTCCCTGAGGCGCACACACAAAACAGTCGGATGGAGTTGCAGCCACAGAAGAACTTCCTTGGCTGAATCCATGACGTGCCTCAAAAGTACAACGTACATGTAAGGTACAGCTGTGACAAAGAGCACAAGCGATGCACTTGGGAAACCAATGATGAACTACTGCCAGCTAGAGCAAAGATTCAATGCGGATGATGCACCGGCATGCTCGTGCATTAAAACCTACCCCGGGGTGACACAACAGCAAAGCATTGCTGTGACTGAGTCGTAACTTACACGGGCTGTCATTACACTCAGGCAGGATACCCATTCATTGCTTATTGATTTTAGTCAAGATTCCTTGGTTGGGTGACATGCACAGGCTACGTGTGTCGGCATACTGTTGAGCTATCTGTGAAACCACCTAAATGCTGTGCCATGTTCAAATGTCTTGCAGAAAAAATCTAACCCATCGCACATGTAGACGACATCAAACGTGCTTGACTCCAAATCATTGGCATTGAATTCGCACATGCATGGGAAGCTCAACAAGCAGTAGGAATAGAGACCCTAAGCCTCGTTCACCGCACATGGCCAACGTTCACAGCTCGATAAACAAAGCAAAGCGAGAAAACCTGCAATGCAGGTGGGAGTAGTGCATTAACAACAGCAGCAATCAATGCCCCCTGCACTCCAAAGCATCTTGTCCTTCTCTTTTCTCCATTAACTTAGCACTGAAGCCAAAGAGAAATGCATATATTTGGGGTCGTCCACATCTGCTGAAAGGAAAATGATAGTTTGAAAAGTACAGTTACAATTTGTGGCAAGTGTCACAAGTAAAGGGATCGTGATTGTTGCTTGGTTGGACACACAAGACGCTGACCATGGCAAATACAAGCTGTGGTGGGTACCTTTTTCGGCTTCGCTGCCACGTGCCCAGCCGCGCAATCCGACACCTTGCCCATCCTTTCGACGTTGCCTGGGTCGACCCAATGGTGCCTGCGGGTGTTTGGGAAAGCCGTCTCTCCGCCCGCTTCCACGTCTGCAGCATGCACAGAAGTCAGCAACCGAGGCTGGAAGGAAGGCAAGAGTCACACGTGGACATTGACGGGAATTTCGTGAGCGGTTCACGTGCAGTCCTCACTTCATACCGCAGTGTCATGCAAAGCACTTCCTCTGTCCCGAAATAAAGGAAGCAATTGGCTTGTGAGTCTACCTTTGCATCAATCGTTGCTTATTTCACATTGAAGCTTTGACCATACTAAGGCATGTGAGTTGGCTACATGCTACCAACTTTGTAGATAATGGATAAGAATTCTGTGAGTTGAAGTCTTTTCAACTGCAGTTACTCATACCGAGAGCTCTAAATTCTCACTCTGTCAGTGGCCCCGCCAAAAATTGGGCCTCTGAGTAGGGCCCCTTCCTGCAAAACCTACGGTATTGGAAGGCCAAGGATTCCAACATCACTCAAACTCAATGCAGCAGCGACCATTCTGAAGCTGTAGGGTGGCCAGGGTGGCAGCGACGCCGAGAGAAGAATGGATGGTAGAGGCGCATTACGCGAACAACTTGTTACTGTCAAGAATGCCTCGTTGGGGAGAGCTATGTAATTGACTAAATGACCACATTGCTTCGCAGAAAAGGTGGATACCGATTCCGAGACACGATCTTTCCAAATCTTACGTTGTATTTGACATTTTGCTTTTCGTCCGGGTTGCATATTTGCTCTTCAAAATTGTTTCATTTAATTCGGGACAGATAAATTATCTTGGAAGCCTGCACTACGCATGGTTCAATCCTGTAAGTTCTAGCTTGCAAAAATATCAAATTCACTGTCGAGGCCTCTGAGTTCTGGAATCGGGTCTCAAGCTATAACTTTGGCTGAAGCGATGAAGCACAAGAGTGCCGGAAAGAATGGAGGAATGTAGCCAGGGGTAGCATGTTGCATGGTAGTCGCTATTTGGCCAGCATGCAAGAACGTGCAGTTGTGCGAGGGATCAGATCTATCCGACTCAGGTGCCCCTTGCGGGCTGAGCTGTGCACAGGCATGCACCAAATAAAGATCCACATGCAGCTACTCATCAGTAGTAAGCTTTTCACGTGCAGTTATCAGCAGGCTGCTTGAGAACTTGTTGCTTTGGAACGGTGCACATGGATGCTCGTCGAAAATAACAGAAGAACTAGCCCCAGATTTAGCCATTGCAGTTTAGTTCATGCGACCTATTTGGGTTTGTTGCATGCATTTTTGACGCGTCCCATTTTTGTGTGCCTTGAGTGGCCTTAGGGTGTCCTACCATACTCTCTAGCATATTCGTTGTTGCCTATCAGCCAAAACACTTCTTGGCCCACTATTCAATGGGACCCAATGAATTGTACGTGACCATTCACGTGACAATAATTATTGTCACATGAATTGCCTCATTATAATGGGAAAACATTGGGGCGATAATATGGCCTGTGGCACAATTTCGGCAACAGTTTATCTTGTTGACACACAATTCTTTGCCAACCCAAGGAGTCATCAACAGGACAGGCATTGTGTGAAATGGGCAACTGCGTGGCAGCTGCCAGGGAGACTGCCTCGCAGCCCCAACCAATGATGCGGTGGCACCAAAGTCCTAGATGTATTGCTGGAGCACTCAACGCGAGGTAATCCAGGAGTCCTATTGTGACGTGATGCTTGAGTCGTGAAAGTGACGTCATGCTGGCGTCCATATATGAAGCAATGTTGGAATCCTCTTTTCCTTTTCTTAATTCAAAAGTACTACATCGCGCCTCAACGTCCAGGTGCCTCCCCCATCCTATAACAAGATATGTGGGACTTTCGCCATGAACCAAGAGGGTGATAGGTGCTACATAGTGGAACCAAAATACCCAACCTGAGAGGTACACAAGCACAGTGGCCTGCCGCCTGCCATCGTCGTCATCCACCACCAGAACGTCCATGTGAGGCTTGTAGTTCTGGCCGTGCCCGTATCTCAGGATCTGCACGTCCTCCTGGTTTATCATCGGCAGGTGCGTCCACTCAGACAGGCGTCTCTCCACGCGTGTGAGGATGGGATCCTGCATGCGGCTGAAACGGAGGAAGGGAGCACCATCAGAGGGCAGGACAGGCGGATGGTCCATTGCACTGACGCTCCAAACATTCTGCGAGGAGGGAGATGCATGTAGGCAATCCGTTGCATGATATCGGTGAAAACTGGTTGCCAATGGCACTGGAAGCTCTGTGAAGCTGGCATGTTCTTTTGGTCCAGATTCGGCATGGTCAATATGCACGATAATCGGTAGATTAGCAGTTCAGCATATGGAGAAACTGTAAGCACATGTGCAATTTCTTTCCAGTGTGTTTGGCCCATCGTTGGATCATGTCGCCATATGTCATCGGATAACAAAATCCTGTGACAAGAGGGAATTCTACAACTGTGCAAAGAAACATTCGTGCAGGGAAACAGCACCCATTGGCTCCATACACATGCAAGGACAGTGCTCTGCCACATAACGACAGCTGTCCCCAAGCTTAATCCACAAAGAAGCTCTGCTTTCCAAATGCAAACTTTGGCAGCAGTACTACCAAAATACACTGGCGCTGCATTTTGACTGGTGCAAGTTCTGTACAGTGCAAGCCACGTCCACCAGGTTGGCTTCAGTTGAAGTGCTAAGTTGAGAACACATTGGTCATGTTCCACCAGGTAGTGGAGGCACACCACTATTTGGTCCTTAACCTGGAAATCTTCCGATCAGCAACAACAATGACGATAATACGCACCACAGGATGAGTATGGCAAGGGCATATCTGCACCCTATTTCACTGGACCTGGCCTCCTGGTTTCTACGCACAAAAGTTTTCTGGAATATAGAGAGCCCTCTCAATTTGCCTCATGGTCCCCTAAGAGGCTCTCAGAAAGGCGATAGTTACAATAAGCCTGGCTGTGTTCAAGTGTGCGTCATGCAGGCACTCAACAGCAAAACTCACTTCAAGAAAGTGCCATAGCTGGATCTGTAGTCAGACACCTCCCCGTTATCTCCTGAGGAGGACACAACCAAGGAGCGCTTCATCTGGCACCACATGCATGCACACAAAAGCAATTACTGCATTTTCTACTCTTGCTGATGCCTACACAGTACATGCCTGTTATATATGTGCATGCTTCTTGTTTGATTTTGCTTCACTGTTGACGACTCCAATTACTTTGATAAGCGGAAATTGGTTCCATTTTATTCTTCTTAAGAGAGAGTGCTCCAATGCATCTTCCAGCTTCAGCACACATCGTAGCCCTCATAAGAAGTCCCAATGGATTCCAGTGGCAATGCATGTCAGCTGAATAAGGGCAAGAGCTGTGAAGACGTGGCCAGGCGCGATGCTGGCATTTTAAGAGACCTCCATTCCTATGTCATTCAGGGGAACTGCGACACTAGTACATCAGAAGCAAACGTTGCTACATATTTGCACAGCTTGCTGTGTAACCTCAATGCCAGCGCGCTGCAGCAAACAAGGCCGAATTGTGGTGCCAGGGCCTGTGAGGGGTGATGGTGTACCTGTGGCGCACCAAGCTGTATGAAATGCTCGCACTCTTCGTCGGTCATGAAGCTGTGGTACAGGAAAGCCCTGGGTCTCCATGAAAGCGTCTCGATCCTTCAAAAGCACAGTCAGGTAGTTAGCAAACAAATGTTGCAGATCCCTATTGGGTTCACAGGCTGATGGGTGGTCCATAAAAGTTCTTTTGGTTCTTTTACAGATGTCTTACAACGGTTGGCAACACACAACAGTTGCATCTGCGAGGCGACTACCAAGAGGTCACTATCCACAGGGACTGGTCTGTGCTCTTCCAGTTGCACTCAGAGATTTTACAACATCTTCTTGCAGCACAGAAAAGAACCTCCACCACAGTTGCTTGGGAGGAGGTGCCCTGCTTGTGACACATTTCTCTGCAGTTATAGCACATCTAACACATCCATAGGAATTCTCTTCACCACATCCTTGCTCAGAAAATGAGGAAAGTCCCAAAACGAGCATTGAGGGTGGCAGTTCGATGGGAAGACAAGGAAGACTGTTGCTGTGATGGATGTCAGCTGTCCAGCACTACCACATGGCTTAGAATTGTGGAAAAACAGCATAACAGAGTTCTAGACAAAGAAGCTGAATAGCAAGACACCTATTTAGATGGACACCACATCTAGGCCATAAACCAACGGGTCCTTGGTGGCCTGCCAGACAGTGGAACCAGGGTACACAGCTCTGAACCCACAGGGAGAACTCCACCCACTGCAAACACAACCGATGGCTGCAGCAATCGCCGTGGCCAGCATCATGAACCACCAGCTGATGGCAACATCAACAGTTTTGAACAGCACAGTGCTGTACGTAAGCATGCAAAAGAAATTAAACTGACCAGTGAAGTAAAACCGAACTTTTGTTCTGTCATGTCAGCACAAGGTTGCAATTGTGTTGACAATCGTGAGGAGCAGCCAGATATTTGCAGGCTTTCCAACCCCACTTGAGCACACTCACCATGGCTCTGAAGCTGGTGCCTGTCACAGAGAAGTAAGCCAAGCTTAGATTTGCTGTCGATGCTGCCAGATTGCACAGCTCTGTTATCTACAAAGAGGAGAGTCTGGTGGGTTATCTCCCAGCAGCCCTGGCAAGCAAGGTGCACTGACACAGTACACTGAAGATACAGAGCCTAAACGTAAGGACTGTATCGGCACTACCAGCATTACTTGCAGCAAGTGCATAGTGGCCCCATGCATGTGGCTTCCCGCAGACCATAAAGATAGAATGGCGAGTAGCAGGATGATGGCTGCCACATAACATCATTTGCAGTTCTTCTTTGGAGATGACACTATCGCAATCAATGCGTCATCGTATCCCAGATTACATCACACCACTGGGCAACAGCCATCACAATTATGACCAACAACAGCACAATAACACTGCTGCATTTGATTGCCAACTTGGTTGCCAGACAGACACCCTGCCACAAGGGCATCAACCATTCATCAGCCACTGCACTACTAAAACGATGCAACCTTCGGATAACAATTCGATAAATGCGCTCATTGCTCTAGTCTCACCTGTTCTATCTGTCGCCCGCCCAATGTCTGTGTGGCATACCCAAACCAGAGATTACCACTTGTCTCACCACGTGATGAGCACCAAAATGAAATGATGCCTTCAACAGATCACCAAAACAAAGACTCATGAAATGATATGCCAGCCCAATTTTGTGCTGCTTATTCAATATTGTTCATGTAGTTGTGATTCTTGTGATTGGCAGCCACCATTTCGCCACTCAGGCTCTACGATTACATGTCAGACAAACCGGCCAAAACATCGATTCCAGACAATTATCTATGTTTAACTACAGCTTTAAATCGCTGAAATCGAGGATTAGCACTGTGAATCGGGTCACACAGGATCACATCACATCAATTTGCATGTTGCTGACTGTGTTTCAACTCGCCAAGCATGTGTTAAAACACGCCAACTGTGTCAAACACGCCAACCATGCTTACCACAGCCACTTCATTGGCAACGTTTTTCACCACCGACCTGGAGCACTTGCCCTCCTTTGCAGCGAATATGCAAAAATCCCATGACATCAAGTTTTACCTTCCTTTTCCTTCCTTTTTGGCGGGTGTCAATGCGGGGTTGATGGGGGTTTGTTTGTTTGTCTGTTTCCTTGTTTCTTCCTCACATGGAGGCATCGACATGATGTCACGGCATCGATCAATATAGCATACGTAAACTAGTGTATGAAGGGCACGTCCAGGCCCACTCATATTGCAAAACACGCCTCTAATGGCGGTCGCAGCTGACTTCGATTCCCAAAAGCTCCCCCACACAAAACAAAAGAAAATTGTCTGCATGCCAAGGGAAAGAAGGGCACGCTATTCGCTAAAGGGCTCGCTGGCCTCGATGAAGCGAGTTCTATCACCCACTGATCATAGAAAAGCTCCCAGTCTCGGGCAGCTGGTAGGGGTAAGTTCTGTTAAAACCAGACAGGTCTACCCCCTTCTCCAAAAAAAAACACACACGCACACACACACACACACACATGCACCAAAAAAAAGGCAAGTGTGTGTGCAGCTCTGTGCCACAAAGCAAAAGTTAATTTATAGTCTCTGGTGCAAGAAGAGCACAGAACACAAGCACCACAAAAGCACATGCAAGAAGAAAGTTGGCGTCAAACGGAACGCCAGTATTCGCGGCAGCAGATAAGCTGCCCCGGGTCCCCAGTACGTCAAGCTCAGTGTACTGTGTTCACTGTGTTGACGAAGGCACGCAGCATCAATGGGTGGCGATCCTTGAACGGGGATCGTACGCTCAAGTCCACGGCAAAGTATTACAACCAAGGCAAAGGGAAAACAGGAGTTCCGTTCCTCACATTCAGTCCGTTCATCAACGTCCTTAATGCAACTCCTAACGCCTCATCATCTTTTATGCATTCAGAACATATTTATCAGTGGGTGGTATTGTCCTGGCGGTGCTGTTCGGATAGCCAAATAGCACCGCACATAAAAAAATAAAATAAAATAAATCAATAACGATTGGGGAGCAATAACACCTCGTTAGCACCGCTGATGCTATTCAGCGCCGAGCGGTGCTATTCTGGGCCCCAGTAGCACCGCTCGAGGCCAAATAGTACCCCAGAATAGCACCCGCGCTATTTGCGCAGAACATTGTAGTGCTGCCTCGATGCTATTCGGCGTAGGAATAGCACCCACCATTGACAACACCCGCAGGGGAGCGATAGCACCGGTGCTACTCGGCAAATGCCGCCTTAGTAAGGTGGCACGGCAGCCAATGAGAACCGTTCCTGGATAGCTCCGCCTGCGCAGTAGTAGCACCGAACGATAAAGATGCTCTCAGCTGTTAATAATACTCAATCTGTCACAGTTACTAATACTGTTCTAGTTAATAATACTCAATCCGTTCTAGTACAACAGCGTTTCGAGGCCCCGACAAGGTGACGCGAGATGGGCAGTACCCTCACCCCTCGCGCTTACGCTGCTCTAATCTGATCTCACGCTGCTCTAACGCAGGCATCCCACACATTCATCCCCGCCGTAGGCGGTACACACTCCCGCCTGTCACGAAAAGTCGAGCCCGTACCGCGCGACATCGCGGATCCCCCGAAAGCCCTGTCAAGGCCCCCCACCCCACCCCACCCCACCCCACCCCTCCCCTCCCGGGGACCCACCTTCGCCTGCTCCCCCCGCCACACGTCCGCCGGCCTGTACGTCTCTCCCTGCCACCCAATGAGGAACTCGTCCCGCGCGCCTGCCACACCGCCGGGAAGGAACCAACAGTCAATGACCTCCTCGCCCGGGGCGAGTCGCGCACGCCCAGGCAAAAGAGCCCCGCGCACGGTTGCTTGGCAGGGGCTGCCCTTTGTGCGCCCCAGGCTCGCCCTTTGCACGCGCTTGTTTCTCTTTCTCTTTGCAACAAATCTTCCCCCCCACCCCAGCCGCCCCCGCCTGGCAGAGAGCCCGGCGCGCACTCGCTCAGGACGTGCTGGCCCCTGAACACCCTTTGCATGCCTCGTTTCTCTTCCTCTTTGTAACAATCCCCCTCTCCTTTCCCCACGCCCATTGATGTACAATTCCAGTCATCGCCACGAACACAGCCGACAACTCACCGGACAGGCCGATCCCCGCCAGCGCCGCCAGCAGCGCCCCCAGCACCATTCCCCGCCGGAGCCCCATCCGGGCGCCCCGCGGCTCCCCAGAGTACGGGATCCCAGCCTCCGGCCGCCCCCGCCGCCGAGGCCCCTGATCTCGACCCCCAGCCGGGCCGGCCAGCGCCGGGATCCGGATGAATCCGGACGAACCGCCTCCGGAGGGGCGAACGGAGCCAAAGATGCGCGCCCCCGCGCCCCCGTCCTGGACTAACCGCCGGTTGCAGTTTTGTCCAGCAGGGACTTCTTGCGGCGGTTGGCGCTTTGGCGCGGGCAGATCAGGCCTGCCAGGTTAGGGCGTGCATGTGGCAGATGGGTGTGAAAAGAAGCGGGGAGGAGGCCACAGACCTCGCGTAATCCTGGGAAGCCGCGAGCGGACATCGTGGCACGCGCCTGTCAACCGGGCGTCGTGCCGTGAGGCGGACGGGGGTGCGTTCGCGGGCCGCGGACGACGGTGGGTCAGTGAAAATTTGGCCAAGTGACATCCTGCCCAAATTATCGTATTATCGTACCCGTATCGGAGCCCCCCAAATGCACCCCCGCTCTCCGGTGCAGCCCTGTTATGGGGAAAAAGTGCACCCGTTTGAGGGTCCGCCGTGAAGTCACAGCGACCCTGTGCGCGGACCAGGGGGGCGGCCAACGGGCGCTCCTGCGGTTGCGGCACCGTTGAGTGACGATCTGGACGCGCGTCTGCGGGCGGATTCCGGCTGGAGTCCTGGCAAGGGCTGCGCAGCTGCCTCCTATGGCGCCCATCAACCTGACGGCTGGGCCACACAGATCTGGCCAGGGCGCGAGATCGATGGGTGCATCATGCAAGACGAACGTTGGGAACTCAATAAACTTCCCCCCCGGGGTGGTGTGGTGTGGGGGTGGTGTGGGGTGGTGTGGGGTTGGGGGGGGGCTTGCACATGCTCATTCAAGCGCAAACGCTGGCCAGCGAGGTCGTTTTTGTGCAGCGCCCCCGAGGCCGCTTTTGTGCATCGAGATCCGGTCCGCGGCAGCAGTAGAATTCACTGGCCACTGAGCATTTGCACCAATCACCACAACGGCCAGCGAAGATAGCCGGCAGTAGGTTGGGTAGGCTGGGGAGTCTGACGAAGTGAAGGGGCTCTGGGCTCCCACGCAGAAGCGTTGCGCTCTCGTCGATTGTGCGAAAAAATGTACGCCCCAAGAGCGGTATAGGGGATCTCTTGTCGTTCTTACGTCCCAGCTATCCAGGCCCCAGTTTCAGGCGGCATGATTGGCCTTTGCGCTAGCCCTGTCCAAGAGCAGGGGAACCCCTTGCCCCGTGCGCCACTGCCGCCCCGCTCGCGCCCAGGAGGTTGGGGCTCAAGCCAAGCAAGCGAAGGTCGCACTGTATCCCGTTCAGTCAGCCGTATTGAGAGTTGAGGTGGCAGCGTATTTCGGCCGGATTGACAGGTTACGATGCTTGACCAGAATGTCACATGGCCAAATTGTCACCGACTTGATGATGGCGAGGGGCGCCGGTAATGGAGGACATGTGGGGAATATCGATGGGAGGGGCGCGCGGAGGGTCGTGCATGGGGAAGGGCCGCCGCACGTTTTGCCGTCGCATGAAAGGCGTGCCGCCTTGTTGCGTCATGACGATGTTGTTTTAGTGCGGATGGCGACAAGGATGACTGAACCGGGGATCGATCCGGAACCCTCCGGTGGGATGTCTCCCCCCCTGCCAATTCACCAGGTACGGCGGCAAGGAAGAGGGCTGTCCGACCCCTCAAGTGCGCCATTCCGCCCGACAGACACACAGGGCCGCCGTTTGTTTTGCCGCCGCATGGAATGCGTGCCGCCTGGCGTCACAGAGATTGTCCTCGGCCAATTGCGAAGTCCTGAGGGCAGAAATGGCCGTCGTCTGTTTTGCCGTGGCATAGAGTGCGGGCGCCCTTGGTCGTGTGGTGGTTGTCCTCGGCCAGTCGTTACGTCATGAAGACAGATGTGTGTGGGAGACAAGGCATCGTCAGCGTGCTCTATTGCCTCTTGTTCCCTGCTTCAAGTAGCTGGGAAGCCATCGATACGTTTTCTCTATGGGGTATGGGGTGGTGCTTGCAGCTGAGCACAGTAGCGTCGTTTCACAAGTACGTGGTTCAAGTACTTTGAGGTACAAAATACTTGAGATGCTTCAATAACCTCAATTCTGAATCGAAGTACAGAAAGGGATAGCATAAAGTGATGAAGGGATTCAAAAAGTGGATCACTTTATGTGCTCTGGTTACTTGCCGTTCGTGTATTTGATGGGAATAGTGGGTCACAGCACAATGGCGTGAGCAGGCCGAGTTCACGCTTGCATGCGTTTCCTCAAGGAAGAACTGGGTATTTTCTGTTGTTCCTATTTCTCAGAGAAAACTGTAGTCTAGCAATGGAGAATTCTCGTGAGTTCGCGAGGAGCTGGTTGTCTCCTAATGTCTTTATTCTTCTAAAGTACAACTTGCTCTGCCGATGCGCATTTGCGCATGGTACCGGTGGCCAAAATTTAAGGCGCAAAGCCCTCAGGCGTGAGTAAATGGGCTCGGAACAGCTCTAACTCTTTCAACGACACATGGGTTCATTACAACTAGTCCTGTCAGGACTGGTTGAAAGCCATAATATCTGTTCACTGGTTGTGTTTCAGAACTAACTGGTTTGTTTGCCACATTATTAAGAGAGTTCTACCATTTCTACATTTTCAGCGCATTATCAAGATGTAATTTCAAATCTACCCACCACGGCTTCAATACCAAGAGGACGGCAACCATCAAAGAAAAAGTGAATCCACACCGTGTACTTCATTCAGGCGCATGTCGCATTCGGAGTGGCGATATGGGCCCATGAATAATCGATTCCAAACACACTATCTGCTTGGTTCTCGCGCCCATCATCGCCTACCAGGTGCACGGGCTGTGTTTTGTCATTTTGGGAGTCCCAAAATGTAATCCATGGATTTTGATGATGATGTCACACTCGGTATACGCAAGCACAGCACCCCGACAAGCCAAGGACCGCGACCTTGCGGATCGCAGTCCTCAGTATAAGCGACACAAAATAAACCGTTTTCATCATCCGTACCTTGTCGCAATTTCAACAGGCAACAAACACGTGTAGGCGCTAGAGGTGGCCACTCAAGATGCCATCCGGTCCGTTAAATCCGGTTTGTTAATTTTTATCAGCTGTCCGTTAAATTCCGTTATAGAAAAAGGGAGAAAATTTCAGAAAAAACGAAAAAAATCCAAAAAAATCGAAAAAAAACCCCAAAAAATCACAACAACTGCGGCTAGTTGAAAATCTAGTATGTAGAGGTTGAAATAAAATACAAACATACTCTCTCATAGCGAATTCCATAGACTATAAGCATGACTAAAACCCAAAAATCCCCCAAAAATCCAAAAAAGCCGTTAATTTTTGTTAATTTTTGTCTTTTTCCGTTATTTTCCGTTAATTAACGGAATAATTAACGGAATTAACCTCTGTCCGTTATTAACGGATCCGGGTGGCCACCTCTAGTAGGCGCACCCACCCACTGCATTCCACCCTTTTCATTTTGTATGCTGCAATTGCCTACAATGCAGTTCTTAGATGCGATACTTTCTGAAACTCTGCATTGCGTATTTTGTCATACGCATGACAACAAAAAAAATGCATCGCGTGTTGGGATTGTCCTGTTGCAGAGGCGTCAAACGACCGCCGCGTTGAAATGCGTGCCGCCAAACACGATCGAGTCATTCATTCATTAACTCATTCCGGCCTCATCAACGCGCACGCGTCCCTCAGAGGTCCCTCAGCCAATGGTGTGGGCGAGCCGAGAGGGACCGCCGAATTCGCCGGCCGCCGCCTGTTCTGGGGCCCCCTCCGGCGCCCCGCCACTAAGACCACAATCGTCGCAAACGTGCCCCCCACCCCCCCACCCCGGTCGATCAACACACGGGCCACCATGGCGGGCCCCATTCACGCAAAATCACTCAGCTTCCTCGCTCTACACCATCCCTGCCGGCCGCTCTTGGCCCCCCAAATGATTGGAACACCCCCCCGCAAGCTCCCGCCAACCATGCGTGCCCCTCTCCTTTCCCCGCCCGTTTCCGCCCCCCACGGAGGCCAATGAGGACCAAGTACTGCCATCCCAACTGACTGCTACAGAGAACGATAAAAGCACTCCCGGGGCTCAGCACCTCCCACAGCTCGACCACCGTGCTCGCCGTGCCATCGCACGGCCCAATAACAAACAGCAATGCGCGGCACCCATGCGAGCCCGCTCGATGGTGAAATCGGCGTTCGATCCATGCGAATCCACGAAGGCCACGTTCGCATGCTCGGCGCTTTCGCAACTCGCAGGAAACCGCTGCGTGTGAGCATCGCACGCCTTGCGCGCTCCGTCCTCTCGCACACTGATCGCCGCTCGCACCAGCCCGCTACGCCCATGTCACATAACAACTCACATCAACCAAACCTCTGCCATCCGGGTCGCTGCTCACCAATCGCTGACTGCCAAGCGAGACTGCAGCCAGTCGCTGCCACCGACTAAGGACATCACCGCCAAGCCGCCACGCCCGGCCATCGGCGAATCTGCGCTGTGCCCGCAGCTGGCGGCCGTGCCCCAACTCCGCACCAAACAAAAGGACAAAAAGCATCAAATAGAAACCGGAAAATAGCCGTGTGCAGCCCCGCCCGAGGACGCTTCCGGCCGCCTCCGTGCCGAACACACATTTGGGGAAGAGTGGAAACTGACGTAGTACTTTGTAGCACCAGCCTCTGACACTTGTTTCCCAAATGTTCTTGTCGGGTCCATTGTCTCGATATCGATGTCCAGACCGACGCAAGTCTTCTGCGGCGCCAAGGTCGGGCTTGGCCCACTTCGACGAGGTCCCGTGCTGCTGGCGGCGCCTCGCTTCCCGTCGCCACACAATTCGATAACCGTGCGACAATGAAGATTCACCCCTCCAGCAAGCGTCGCTGTTGGCCATCATGTCCGTGCCCACCGCTGCATGAATCGCCAACAATCATTTCAGGCGTTGTTGGTGCAAGGGTTTAGTTTTTTTTTCTAGGGTATATTCAGGGTTTATGCGGTGCTTATATTCTCATTGTTTCGGCTGCTGCTTTGTATACATTTAAAAGCGCATGTAGCAAACATGTAGCTACACGTAGCAAAACTACAGCTGCAGTTGCAGTAAAGCCGTCATCACATTGAATCCGAAGACGCATCAAGTCTGCCGTCTCAGTTATCTCCGGTCGCAGAGAAACTTCATCCGCAGTAGAGAAACTCTCGTTCACGGATACACCAATCGGTGCTCAGCGAGACGGCAAACTGATTTCCTCAAGCCGCGATCCACAGGTGTTGCAAAACAGCAGGCACCCAGTGCTGCACGAGGACACCTGAAAGGAGTCGACAATTGCATTGCAGCGGTCACGTGATCAGGCAGCCCTGCGATATCTCTGAGCCGTGGACATGTCCCAAAGCTCTTGGCGAGGAGGGAGGCAGCCACTTGCACCCTTTCAGTGAAGTGTGTACACGACTCTGTACATAGCACTTCCAAAGTGCGAAGGACATGTAAGTTAAGCAATGAACATTAGGCGGGTTGGCAGGTTGCCACGTTCGCCCAATAGGGCGATTCACAGTGGAGTCAGAGTAGGAGCCGGCAACAACATAGCCTTGGACTTGATGTAATCTTAGTTTCAATTATTTCGTTTGTTGCCCTTGTCAGCAGGCAATGTGTGGCAGATGTTTGGCGGACACCGCCAGCGATTTCGCAGCCGTTTTGGTTTGGGCACGAGGGCTCATCGCTGCATTTGGTGGCAACAGCAGGCCGCCGCTCATCTGGCCATGGCCTTGGAACAGCCACCATTGGTCGAAGAGCCTCGGCGTTTCCTGCTGCCATACTTTGGCACGACCCCACACGGCCGACAAAAGTTGGCGAGCTGGGCGTTGCTTGGGCGTGCAGTTTGTTGGCTGCATGGACCAGCCCAGGGCTCGACTTGATTTCGCGCTCCTCGACGCCAAAAAACTTTCGCATTCCTTGCAGGGCCCATCAGTCACGTTCAGCTGAGCTCCCCTGGCCCCCACCACGTTCCAGAGGACGGCCCTGGCCCAACGGGCCCAAGCAACCAACCACCAGCGACCACAGAACCTCGGCGCTCCCCACAAGCCGCGCACTTGCACTCACGAAAGATGTCGCCAAGAAAACGGTCGAGGCAGCACGATTTTGCCCCGTTCTGACAAGGTCTAAGCTTCAAACTCACCTTGGTTCGAGCGTTATACACAAGTAAATATCGGCCAAAATACACTGTTTTGAACCGTGCAAGGATTGTGCCAGCCAGCGTCAAAACGTGCAACAATCATGTACACACGCTCAATCGTTGCTGCACGGTTTGGTCCCATTTTTACACGTTAAATGCACGATAACTACACAATTCAGCACGATTTCACCACGATCTTCAATCGTGTTACACGGTACACGATTTTGAAAAACCGTGTATGTTGGCTTGTTTTACTTAATGATAATACATAATGATAACAAGAATGGCAGATAATTGCAACATAGTTTGAGCACAGTCCAATAGCGCGCGAAGTTGGCAGTACTTTGCCAGTGTTTTTGCACGCTCACCTGCTGGAGGCAGGCATCTGCCCTGGGCCATAGGGGTTGGTGTCCCAGGGCATGTGGGCCTTCACCACGGACCCCATCCGCCCCCCCCACGGCACCCTGCCCGACCTGCCCCATCCCGGGTGCTCTACCCACGGGCACGGTGGCTCCCTGTGTCCCAGAGCATCTGCCGTGGCACAGCGTGCGCACCCCGGTCAGCACCGCGGCCCCAAAGCGGATAGTTTCTTCTTGTGCCAATTGTTATGCATTGAATATGTACTGCATACAGACTTTGTTTGTGTTGAACATTGGACTTCAATGAACTGATCAGCGACACCGCTTTGCTAGGGCAAAGTAGGAAGCTGATTCTACCTCATTGACTCGTTCTGTTAAAACCAATGATGACGATGATGATGACGAATATGTACTGCAAGGGGGGGTTTGTAATCTATTGCAGCAAATTGTTCCATGCACAGCATTGACAAGAGTTGATTAGGGCAAAAGATTTGTTAGATGAGAATAGCTTATTTCTACTGTTGCAAAACAAGCTGCCGGGGGTCTTCGCATTGAAGAAATGGCACCTCGCCGATTCCCACAAACGCAGGGAGAATAGCCGGACAGTTCTGTTTTCATGGCAGTTTTCGAAATTGGATGTGGTCAGCACCAGCATAAGTATTTGTAAGCACCATTGCGTGAGCTTATCCTTGCCAACGCCACCGCAAAAATGCGCTGACCGTTGTGCTTGCATTTGCATTGACAACAGTCCATTCCTCGCTGCACAATCCAGCCCAAGCGAAGCATGAGTGGCACACACAAAATGAAAACCAGAAGATTCGGAGCGGAAGATAAAAGATGTAGTAAAAAGGGAAAAGGAAAATGAATTCGTGATTAACGGCAACGCCACAGCAGCACACTGGTCACGGCATGTGCCTCTACTGAGCTCAGATTATCAAGCAGCCTCAGTTCACTGGCCGTTTACAAGGACTTTGCAATGTCCGTCCTTTTCTCCCAGCCAAAAGAAAGAAAAGCAGACAGGCACACACGCCCCAGAAAATAAAGTTCTTCACTTCCTACAATGAAGAAAGAATGAACGCAGAAAACGAAGCAAAAGCAAAAGTCAGAAACTATCTGCGAAAGGGAATGGACTCACCGTCCCCGTGCCAGCCTGGTCCAGCCTGTCCAAACGCCACCTCCGGCCCCCTGCCCCACGGCCGGCGCCCCATGGCGTGCATGGGCCCTCGAGGCAGGTAAGCCGGCACAGTGTTCCCGGACCTGTGGCCGACGTACTTTACGGCGTGCCGCGGCAGCTGCACCCTCCGTCTCCTCTCCGCCTCCGCCGCCATCCACTCCATCTTCAGCGGGCGCCTGCCCATGACCAGAAGCTCCGGGCACAGCTTGGGAACCTGTCGCCAGTACATCAACGTTGTACTGTTCCCCTTTTCGCCGGCTCCAAAGATGCTAATCCAGAGTCGTCTGTTTGCCCGTTGCGCTGGCTCACGCCACGCGCAGCATCAATCGCAAGGACATGTTTGTTGGCAACTGTCTTAATTTTATTTAATTTTATTTAATTTTATTAGTTTTTAAATTTTGTTTATTCGTACTACAATTGGGCATTAGTGCGTCGTTCTCTAGCCACTCTGATTGCAGCCGTGCACCAGACATCGCCTTCCACAAATGTTTGACACCATCACATCCGGACATGAACGCCATGAAGGTCGTTTTCGGGTTTAGGGTACTCAGACTTTCAGTTTTTAGGGATTTAAGTTCCTAGTACCCTTCATGACCCACTCATGACCGTCGCATCCGATATGTATCAGACATCCTCTCGCCTTTGGGGTGCAAAGGCTGTGCCTTGTCACATTCGTAGGAATGAAATTAATGGATTTACTAGAAGCACCAGACCATGTTAAACCAACCTAGAGCAACATAATAAAAGAGAAGATGATGGAACATGACATAATGAGGCGAATGAACAATACAACACAGGCGGCGGGCAACGTGCTCAGCGCCTTGAGAAGCAGGCGGGAAGCACACAGCCTGTAAATGCAGCTCCTGTTGCAGATCATCCGCGGTGAACCCACGCTCAGCACATCCATGGACATACCATACTTGCGGATACAGCACATGTACCAGCACATCTTGCGTATAACAACCATGTGTTTGGATGAGCAACACGCGCACACGGCGGCGCACCGCCGGCCCCCGCCGCTGCTCACCTGAAGCAGGTTGTCGCTCCTTATGGGCTTAGTACAGAGGGGGATCCCAGGCATGCGCAGAAACCGAAACCTGCACAGGCTGCGAGACTCGGCCCGGCCCACGACTTCGCAGCCCACAGACAGCGGCCAGCACCTCCCGGCGGCCTGCACGCACAGCAGCCCACAGCTCGCCGGCCACTTTCGGAGAAGAGAGAAAAGAGAACAGGAAAAAAACAGAAAAGCCAGAAAAACCAGAAAAAAGAAAGAAAAGAACACAAAAGAGAAAAATAGAAAAAAAAAACAGAAAAATGGAAGAAACAGAAGAAAAGAAAAAAAAACAGAAAGAGCGGCACGGCAGCGCCCACAGGTCGCTTGCTGCGTCGTGGCCATGAACGATGATGGTGCCGGGCCCGCAGGCCCCAAGTGTGGACGGCCGTCACTGTCGCCAACCTCATGGTGTGCAGTACCTAGCAAGAAACATTTATACACGGTTTTGAAAATCGTGTACCGGGAAACACGATTGAAAATCGTGGTAAAATCGTGTTAAATCGTGTGTTTATCATGTCTATCGTACAAGAAAGGGACCAAACCGTGTAGTAACGACTAAGTGAGCGCACATGATTTTTACACGTTTTGACACGGTATTACTCGATTTTACACAGCTCAAACCGTGTACTTTGGCCGATTTTTCACTTGTGTATGGAGCAATATTATGCCGCACTGAGTAGCGCTGAGTTCGCGAATTGGCGGCGTCTAAAGCGCGGGGCTCATTGCAACCGCTGAGTACGATGCACCAAGGAGGATACATGAAATTCAAAATTACCTAAAATTACTTCATTAGTGAAATTTCAAATTTTCAGCCGATCGCTGAAGCGGCTCCATGCACAACTGCTGAGCATTCGGGTGAGTGGATCTTCCACCCCTGGGAGCAGGCGCCAAGGGTACCATTCTGGTGAGAGGGGGTGCCCAGTTTGAAGACCCAATTCGAGTTCGAAGCATAATGGGGTGGGGTGAAAGCACAACGCTGTTTATACCTGCCCCTCCCTGCAAGTTGATTCACATTCACAGCAACGCACGCACGTTTCAGATGTTCAGCTGCCACACGGTTGGGCAATCTCTCTTCTTTTCCCATTTGCAGCTGGCGAACGTTTTGATTTGCGTTGATTAATATGGTTCACCAGTTTTAGATTATCGTCTATTCGTCATTTGGTTGGTCAGCAGCCAGTCAATTCTAGTTCTAATTGAGGTTCAGGCGAGCACTTGCTCCTTTTGCAGGCTGCCTTTCAGTGCTAAAGACCGTTTAGGATACCCACAGCTGCGGGGTAGAGAAGTGACAATTGCTAGGATTACATTTTCGAGGTTTGGCACTTCTAGGGCTGACCCTCCTCGCGAGCCAATCAACACAAACGACACACTGAAGGCGGCGCCTGGGCTTTGGCATGTGCTCTGATCTTCTGAAGCAGCCTCACCAGTTCTGCGCTGGACCGTCCACTGGTCCCCATCCCCTGACTGGCTCCAAACCCGGGCATCACCACCGCCTGCACCCCAACCTCGAACATGCACCTCTCCACTGCCGAGAACAGCAGCTTGGACAGTCCGTAGCCCCGCACCTCCACATGGAAAATAACATTCAGCGGAGCGTTGCTGCAACTGGATCCAATTTTTGCAAGCCGAAGAAATTGCACAGGCAGCCAAATCCATGTTCGCGATGCCGATTGCGGCGCCATTTGGCAATAATTGACGCCATCATAGTGATTGCGATGCTTCGAAGTAGCTGCTATGGCACCAACTTGTGTCGAAATGGCACCGCAGCTAACACCACAATAATGTCGGTTTCCGCTTGTGCTGTGGAGGGGAAAAGGGGCAGGAGGGGCGCATGGGGCTTAACCAATGTCAGGGACATTCGGTGTGCATGTTTGCGCCTGCCATCGCCCAGCAGGTCCAACGGCAGCATCGCTTGTTCAGCAAGAAGCTTCAAGGGTTCATGCCACCTGTACAAATTTAAGATCGCTGAGGTCATGCATATTCCCACGTGCACATTTTGCACGCATTTTGTTTGTGCCCGTTTGGGCATGCACTGCTTGGGTGGCGTGTCACTTGCATCGAGCGATCAGCACACGCACCTCCCTGTGCACCACCACCAGCGGCAGCTCCGCCACAAAGGGGCCCAGCACCCGCAGCAGGGCCACGGCTACCAGGGTCTTGCCGACCCACAGGGTGGCGGACTGGAAGCCCGAGAAGTCGGTGGCGCCGTCGGGCGACCGGCGGCCCTCGACCATGAGGGGTATGAGGTTCTCCTCCGTGGCGCCATCCAGGAGGGGCTCGAAGGAGTAGGAAAGGAGCTGCGCACACGTGCAGGGCAGCATTAGCATTCACTGGTAGGAAACAACCTGTTTGCGATGCCAGCTGCGATGCCAATTTGACACTAATTGATGCCATCACAGCTCCTTTTATGCCATCGCACTCACTGTGATGGCATCAATTTGTGTCAAAAGAGCATCGCAGCTGACATCGCAAACAGGGTGTTTTCTACTGGTGATTGGTGAACTCATCTGAGCCAGTCTGATCTGAGCCAGAACAGGTCGAATCAATCTGATCTGGTCGCTAAACAAAAGGCTTGAAGGAGTTGAAGGATTTGACTCACGAGGAAAACCGGAACTATGATAGGTTTGCCATGCTTTAGGTACAGCGTGCAGAGGTGACTTAACAAGGATCTGACAGGGATCAGGACTGGAACGTGATGAGCTGGGCGCAGAGAACAACAAAAAGTGAAGCTGCCCCTTTCCATTCCAAAATATCGCATCACATATAGGGGCCCAGGCGACAACCAAATCCCAACAAAATAAACGAGGGCTTTGCAAGCGCACGTGTCTAAGTTGTTGGAACAGAGAAGGGCCTGACCCAACTCTGATCCGTTATGAATCCATTATCCAGAGGGGGGGGGAGGAGCCGCAGGTGTGGAACAGGAATGAAATTTTTATCCTCGATGTCATGATAACTTCTGACATTTAAGCCTATGAGAGTGCCTGTGATTGCACCATAGCGCAAAGAACAAGGGCGACATTGCGTCAATTCCAACGAAGATAAACATAACACCAAGATTGCCTCATGCCAGCCCGTCTAAAAGACCACCAATGCGTCACCCAATTGGCGCAAAGACATCGCTTTGCGCTGCCCATCCAATTGAAACCGATTTCGAGAATATGCTGTGTGTCTTTTGGGGCAGAATTGGAAAGGTGGACCTCACCAGCTTGGCACCCTCCAGAACCACCCTCAGGCGCTTCTGTTGCTGGCCAGTGTACTTGGGAGCATGCGCAGTGCAGTCACTGGGCTTGTAGACGGCTGCCCCACGGATGAGCTGCCAGCTGATGGGTGTGTTGTCCACCAGGCGGTCGACCTGACCCACCAGCACAGCTGTAGGCTAGGACATGTTTGCCACGCTTTGCAAGGTCCTTGCATACCACTGGAAATATAAGATATGATATAAGACTGAAATGAATGAATGAAATGAAATATAAGACTGGCACTTGATCTAAATTCAGTATAGGTATGTGCCATGACTGGCGTGGTGTCTTCCCCGCTGCATGCAATGTATGCATTCACTCATTGAGCAGATCAATTTTCAGCACTTGGGAAATCGGGATGCTGCCTTGCTTTCAAAATGAAAGGGAAAAGGAAAAAGACCAGCAGAAAAGAACAGAACGCTTCATGACAGCGCGCAGGTGTCGTTTACAACAAATCAATGGATAAGGTCAAAATCTGCTTGCATCATAGACTTTGAGCCGTTTCTTCTCCCATTACCATGCATTTCAAGCACTCCTGACAGCGTCCCCAGGTCGTTTCACTCCCCTTTCAAATCATCAAGTGCTTCATTCACATTCATCTCTCGTTCCCCATCCCTTTTCACATTGTTCAACGACTGAAAATGTCATAAACAGCGCATGGGGCACCCGTGCGCAAGCACATGGACTGTCCAGCATAAATCCACACACACCATCTTTCCCATCGCCAGATCCCTTTCTAAACCACTGAAAAAAACACAGAAGGGTGTACCAAATAGGAAAGGCGTTGGGCAACAGAGCCAGTGGGACAAATTAATTCGCCTTAACGCAGCTCACCTGCACGAGCCCGCGGCAGTTCTGCATGGCCAGCATCGCGCTGATCCCGTGGCAGGGCATGCTGCAGAACCATGGCCTGTCCAGCCCCCACGGCTCGCCCGGCAGGCACTCGAAGTGGTAGTCCATGTGGCAGCCCGCACAGCGGACCCGGCTGTCCCATTCCACCCTCTCAGACACGGCCCACAGCCTGAAGCTCCCACCCTGGGCCCTGGGGGCCGGCCCGCCCGGGGGGGCGGGCGGCGGTGGCAGACCGCCGAACACCAACGGATCAGCCAACCGCGCAGCCGGGCCGAATCCAAAGGGAAAGTTCCTTCGGTGGTGTTGCTGCAAGTGCACGGGTGGAATCGAGATTGGGGGATTGGAGACAGGCTGCAGGGGTTCAACCCGCGGCGGCACTGGCGACTCCACCTCCTCGTCGCCATCGTGCGCGCTGGGCTCCGCGAGCATGCCCGAGTCCGTCTGTGTGGTGCACTCTGACGCTGACTTCGACTTGGGGTCTTGGCCAGCCTTGCCCAGCACCAGGAGCTCCCCGTCCGGCGAGCGGCCCCCCTCCTCCCGGGTCCCAAGTCCCTGCAGGCGGCCGGGATAATCCCCCCGCTCCTCCCGTCGCGGGCCCCAAGGAACGCTGGGCCCCAAGGCCCCGGGTGGTGGCGAGGATTGGCTGGACACGCGGAGCACCCCCCCCAGCCCCAATCCGTCCGCCCCCTGGCCGAACTCGCGCCAGCTCCTTGCCGCGCCCAGCCCCCCCTGCCACGGGGGCTGCTGCGGCACCCCGCCGCCCGGGCGCGGGCAGAACGCCCCCCTCGATCCACTGGTCCCTCCAGCGTCAAACTGCCCTTCATCCCACCCCCCGCCGAATCCCCTCGGCGCCACCTCGCACCGCGCGCCATCCCGGTAGCCTCCCATCTCCCCCCCCACGCCGGCCCCGTCATTCACCTTCAAGTCCTCGGACTTGAGCTGGGGCGCGGATCGGAACGGCTGCGTGGGGGCCCTCGGGGCCAGCCCCTGGCTGGGCTCGCAGGGAACGGCGCCGTGCGGCTCAGGCTGCTGGGGCGGATCCGCGGGCCCGAAGGCGTCCGGGTCCGGGTCCGGGTTCGGCGCGAAGATGTCCAGGCCGTCAAGGGACGCGCCTGGGCTGGGAAAGAGCGGGTCGCTGAGGGAGGGCACGTCCAGGTACTCGCCCAGGCGCAGGGCGTCGGGGCCGGAGTCCAGCGGGCACTCGGACGTGGCGCTTTTGGCCCGCATGTCCGGCAGGTTGCTGTCGCTAGCCGCGCGGCGGTGGTCGGATGGCGAGCCCGCCTTGGAGGGCGTGCCGGAGGGTGCGTCGGCGGAGGGCGGGCTGGCGCCGTCCCCGGGCACGAAGCCGTTGTTGTTCAGCGATCCAGCCCCCGCGCTGCCGTTGTTGGTCAGCGATCCGGCCGCCACGCTGCCGTTGTTGTTCAGCGATCTCGCGCCCGCGCTGCCATTGTTGTCGACGGACGGCCCTCCGTTGTTGTCGTTCAGAGACGGTGGCCCGCCTCTGCTGGCGTTGTTCAAAGACCTCGCCCCTCCGCTGCCGTTGTTGTTGTTCAGCGATCCATCCGCTCCGCTGTTGCTGTTGGTGTTCAGTGATCCCGCCCCTCCGCTGCCATTGTTGTTGTTCAATGACCCCATTCCTCCGCTGCCGTTGTCGTTGACGGACCGCCCCCCTCCCCCGCAGCTGTTGCCGTCGATCGAAGGCGGCCCGGCGCACCCGCCGGACGGCGTGTCCCCTCCCGACGCGAAGCATGGCCCCCGCCTGCTGCCGCCTTCTCCGCTGCGCCCCGAGCGCGACGACGGTCCGTTTGTGTTGCTGCTGGAGCCCGACCGCGGGGCCGATTGGCAGCCGTCGGCGCTGCCGTTGCCGCCCATGTCCTCGTCGCCAATTGCATCCTCGTCCGCGGTTCCGTCTGCGAAGATTCCGCCCGCGGCTCCGTCGGTCAGTCCCACGTCCTCGGGCCCCGCCGCGGTGCCGGACGACTCCCGGTTCGCGGCATCGGCGGCACCTCCGGCGTCCGTCCTGGGCGACTGCACGGACGCCGCGCCGTCGGCGTCATTGCAAGGGCCAGCCGCGCTCAGCTCGACCTCGACCTTCAGGAGATTCTCCGCAGACTGGTCGTCACCTCCCCCGCGCACGCCCGAGCAGGCGTTGTCCGATTTGCGGCGCTTGGAGGGCAGGTTGGGGGGGGAGTCTGGGCATGGGGGTGCGCGAGCGTGAGCGCAGGGATTGGGCGGGTCGGTGTATGGGCTGCTGCTTGCCTTGGCCGGTGCTGATCCGCGGGGCGGGGCACAGATGGCATCGCCCTCGCGGGGGGCCCGCTCGGCGCTCTGGCGGCTGGAGCTGCCCTGGTGGGCCATGGGGAAGAGCCGCCCGGCCACCATGGCCATCATGCACTTGCGTTCCTGCGCAGCAGCGGATCAGGGGCGGTTCGGGAAAGTTCAGTGCATCGTCGTGAGGGCGGCGAGGCTGGGCGTGCCTGCACCCAGACGACGGGACACTGCACCCACGCAAGGGTTTCGATCCATTTGCGGATCTGCTGGAGCAGGAAGGGGACACAACATTTTCTAACTTTGTTGCTGCTTTGAACCTGACCAACGAAAACCGTAACTTCCAGATGAAATGAAAGATTCAATGAAGAAATGCACAAGGACAGAAAACCTTTTTCATGGGTGACTTTGTCTTTTCAAGGCCAAAACAGCAGAAGGCATTCAGCACCCAGGCACGATAAAGAAAGATGAACAAAGAACAATACTTTGTAAGGCGAAAACAATCGAGAACTAGTTGGCTGCAAAGCCAGTGCGCCCACCTTCATCTCTTCCCCTGGAAACAACATTGTGAACACCTTCTTCAGAGGCTGGGTCTTGTGGCAGCTGCTCTGGGCCTTAGGAAACCTTTCGTTCAGCATTCCCTGCACCTCCTCGGCATCCTTGCACGCCTCTGCAGCCTTCACCAACTCCCTCACTTCCCCATCGTCCCTCCCGTCGTCTCCTTCGGGCCTCCTGGCCCTTGGCTGGGTCCCATACCCTTGAACGTGACCGATCACACCCTTTGGAGCCACCTTGGACGCGATGCGGCCAGCTGGTTGGTGCTTTGTTACCTTCATCACCGGAAAGTTCTTTGCCGACTGCATGTGATATCACAGCGCACTCAGTTCCATGTCCTCTCTAGCATTTTGAGTATATGCAATAGTATATTATGTGAGAAGTATCATGCACTTGTGTGGGAAATAAGGCCCACCAGAGTGCACTGGCAGTTGTTGTTGGTTTCGTTTGGCTTTTCCTTGCGATTCCAATTGCCGCATTGCAAGTGCAGGCACAGATGCCACGTCCATCCCCACACAAGACCTGTGGACCTTGCAAGGCCCCGTGAAAAAACTTGATCACATGCTGACTATTGGTGTAAATGGAGCATCAATACCCAAAGGCGCTGGTCTCCAGCCCACAGAAACAGAAGCAAAACATATCCAAGAGATCAAAACGCATTCCCTGAAGGGGGCCAGAGTTGGTAACCATGGCACTGCGAATGGAAAACAAGGACCCATCCAGGACTGCCTTGCATCATATCCATGTGTGAAGGGGAAGCACCACAAGCCCAAAACGTGCCCACACAATAAAAGGTGTGCAAGGTTGCCAACATTTGTGGGCAGGTTTAACATTCCATTTGTAGTTGTGTCCGAATGACAAGTTGTGTAGGAGATTAGGGATGTGCTTGCACTGGCGGACAAATGGTGAGATTCAGCCATTTGTGACATCGACTGCACGATGCGGCCTCACCGTTCTTTTTGAGCACTGCAATCAAGGCCCTGTGTATCAAGCCATTTGACTGCCACTGACTGCCCTGTACAATATGGCAACCAGGCCCAAAGCACCCTTCAGGGCGGAGATGGGCAGATAACATTCGCTCATTTGTTCACAGCACCACACCCACTTTTTGCTCCTTTTGTGCAAACGACAGTTCACCACAATGGAAAATGCTGCACGTTTGAACATTGAAAGGGCAAAAACTTGGGGCCCTTCCCATTGTGGTTCCTTTCATTGCCTAGCATATCCAGCTCTGTGAACGTGCTTGCCTTGTCGTGCTGTTACAAGCATGTGCCCAATGAGTTGGACGCGTACGAATCTCACCTTTACCCTTGCAGTGCGCAGGTCCTTCCGGCACTGCAGCACAGTGTTCAGCCACTCCAGCCCCACGTAGCCATCCACGGGCAGCTGCGCTGGGCCCATCAGCCCCAAGGAGGCCAGGTCCATGGGCGGAGGGTGTGCGGGCACGGCATCCACAAACACTGCGGGGGCAGTCAAGTTGGGCTCGTCCTGGAAGTTGGGACCCCTGCAGGCTGTGCAGGTGCAGGAGGGGCACCACCAGGGGCCCGGGGAACAGGGTGGTGAGGGCACCAGGCAGGCTGGGTGGTATGTTCCCGGGCAAGACTCGCAGGACAGGAGACCGCCCTGGGGACAACAGGTGTAGCTTTGGTGTCAACGGTCGCATGTGCCTGAAGCAGCAATGGGAAAATGGCACCCTGGTGGTTGCATGTGCCTCTTGTGAACTCAAACAAGGATACAGCACTAGTTTTCTGCTGGTGTATACATTGACTTGGCGATACTTGACAAAGGGGATGGGATGTCCACATGATAGCTGAGCCATCTTCCTTCAAGAATTAAAATGTCTCAAAGGGTTTGCCTACTTGCTCACAAAGTGATGCAGGCAAAGTGTCCCCTGCCAGGTCTGGAGACACAGCATAACAACAGGGTTGTGGATATGAGAACATGCATGGCCCTTTGCAACACACCCCTGGGAAAGTGACCCAGCCATTGCCCCATTGTTTGCTTGTGAGTGGATTTGGGCACTGTATGGGCCATGGATCGTCTCTCTATGTAGTCACACACCTTCAGTGCACATCTCCAAAGCCACACACAAAGTGAACAATGACCTTTATCGCCTTCAAGATCAAAGCGCACTGCATGGTCTGGTTATTGTTTCGCTGCCAGAGGATTTCCATCCAGAGGTCCCTCCCCTCTGTTAGCCATCGCCAGAATCAAAATACTGTTTCATTCAAGAGTTGACTACAGCAGCCCATGCCACAAACATTATATCGTTTTCCAGTTGCCCATCAAAAGGAATGATTGAAAGTTTGCACGCAGTATGCAGCAAGACACTGTCGTCATGGCACATGCCTCTTCTAATGTCAGGTGAAGCATACAAAGACCTCACAATGATGGTGCCACTGCCATCAGGACACAATCAGTCCCACAACAATATCCCACCCACCTAGTCTTTGTGCTGAAAATCCAGTCTTCATTCAGTCCTTATTCTACAGTTTGGGTTCGGGGTTGTGGTACAGCAACTGCCAAAATGGCTTGGGGGCAATGGCAAAAGGCCCAGGAGCGCAATTGGACACCCTTTCCTGCCCTCTGGTTCCAGGCTTCACGCCACTCGTCAACACAACACCCTCCCCCCACACTGTCCCTCTCTCCATCAGCTTTTTGTCTGGTTCAGGGCGCACCAACGAGAAAAACGGGGACGCGGGGGGAAAAAGACACAGGGACCTAGCGCGCCGGGACCCAGGGCAGGAATCAGTGCGCTCTGCAAGTAATTGCGAGGGGAGCCACGGGCTGGTTCCCAACAGCCAGTCTTCGGGATTCTTGGGGAAATGCCCGTATCCTGTTTTGATCCCTTCCTTTCGCCCTTAATAGTATGGGCATATATTGGGAAGATGAGAAATACAAAGCCCCATCCCCACCTTCTGGCCGCATATCCAGCAGCACAGGCCGTCGTCCGACCCACAGCTGGGCCCTGCCTCCGCCTCCACCGACGCCGCGCCTCCCTCCGTGGCCTCCGGCGATCCCGTCGCCTCGCTGGCCTCCCACGCCCCGTCCCTCAGCTCGCATATGATGTCCTGCAGGCTGCGGCCCGACGCCGTGTGCGTGTGCGCACACGGCCGGTGCAGCCTGCTGCCGGCGTGGTGCTCGAACTGGGTGTAGGAGAGGGCGGAGGGGGAGCCGTGCACGCGGATGCCGGACCGCGTCGCCAGGCCCACCATGAGGAGGTCGCCATGCTTGTTCTGGGGGGACGGCAGAAAAAGGGAGCGAAGGCGGGTTGTTAAACAGAGGAACTGGGAGCAGACAAGGAGACGCGGCCAATTTTCTTGAACGAAGGGTTGTTGGCGACAGGAATGGAGGCGGTGGGTGGGCGGTGGCACGGGACCGTCGGGGGCAGGGCGCGTTGGAACCGGCTCACGTCGAGCGGGGGAATTTCTGCAAGGGATTGGGCGTTGGAATTGGGGAGCCAGCTGTGCGATCACAGGAGGGTTGGCTGCCCGCTCGCTCAAGTCTGTGTCCCCGGATCGCCAGGTTGCTCGTGCCACTCGTGGGGCTTGAGCCCTGAAAGGCTGATGAACGCCCTTTTCAGTCCAAAGTCTCCCCACAGCCCTTAACTGAATTCCCAACCAGGGCCGTCGGGGCCGTTGGCCAATTCAATCCACACATCGCGAGCACGGCGCCTCACCAGTCTCCCCCCCAACCACCCAGTGCACCGCCTCCGCACAACGCATCCCCAGTCAACTATGCCCTACCCACAATGGTCACCCCTCGATCGCCCGTGCCCAGACTCTCGGCTGCGGTCGCGGACGCCGGACTCAGGCCCAGCCTCAGGCTCCAGGACTGGATCCCCAGCGCGTCGATGCAAGGGGTCCAGGGGGCGCCTAAAGTGGCCAAGCCCCCCCCCCCCCTCCCCGGCCAACTCACCTTGTAGCGAAGGAGCTCGCCTTCCCGCAGCAGGCCCGAGTCGATGATCTCCGCCACGGGCGCGGTCTTCTTCCGATACGACGACGACCCTCCTGCCCAACGACCCCAACGGTTTCAGACACACACACACGCACACACAACACACGGCCCTCCGCTGCATATCATATCGCACCCCCTGCACAGTCAGACAGCCCATGTACAGAAACACCTCCACAGTTAGCTGTCCCAGCAGCCTCCAGAGGACGGTGGGAGACTTTTGGGGTGCCAGTCGGACTGGCGGGTTGGGCGCCAAGCTGTCCAGTTTCTGGCGTCCAGGTCGGAAAGGCCCGCTGCGACGCGGCCAAGCAACCAAGAAAGGTCCCCGTGACGTGGCCAAAAGGTCGGCCCAGTACTTTGCCTCCCCCCCCGCCCACCTCTCCTGCCGCTCTCCTCCTTCATACCGGACGTGCCGGTCCTACGGCCTCGGCTGGAGCCCGCTGGGGGCCCGTCCCGGGGGCATGGCCTGCGGGCACAGCGGGGCGCGCGTGAGATCGCTCCGCAGCGAGTCGCATGGGATGGCGAAGGGCCCGCTGGGAGGGGGGGCGCGATCGGCCACAGATCCCGCCCGACGGCGATCGAACGGCGGCGGTGAATTCTTCGTTGGCGTGGTTTTGCGACGAACAATGCGGCCTGAGGTCGCGCGAGGGACGAGTTGGGGAAACGACGGGACGCGGGGGTGAGAGGTGGGGGCCATTACGGAGGGCGCGGCCGGTCGGCCTCCGCGCCGGCGCTGGACGGCCCGCCTCGGCCCAGACATCCGATTCCGCAGCAACAATCCAGGCACAACCCCCGGCGGGCGCCCAGCGGGATCATCTTCGAGCCGAGGCCCTGAAACTCGCGGCACAAGCCCGCCGGGAGCCGCCCGACCCGAAAGTCCGCCGCACCTCATACTCGGCAGCGCTCATTCGACTTCGACACCTCGCACCCTCACCACCCCTGTCAATTCAGCATCCTCGCGCACGCACAACTGAGGCACGATTCCCACCCCACCCCACCGCCCAGCCCAGCCCAAATGGCCTTAAAACCCCAGACCCCTCCCCTCCCCAACCCCCCGTGCTGCCAACCAGCCGTCACCCGATCCCCCTACCCGCCTCCCCCCCCCAGCAATCCCAACCGCCATCCTACCGGCGGCAATCCCCCGGCCCGCTTCCACCAATATTCCCCCCGTCTTTCGCATCCCCGCTAAGCGGCATCCCACCCACCAACCCACCCACCCGCCCCGCCCGTGGCGCCCCCATCCCCCTTCCCGCTCACCGCGATCCCCGCCTCCGCGGATGCCCTCCGCGATCGCCAGCACCTGAACAGGGCCGGCCGCCCGATCGGCGCCGATCCGATTGGGCCTCCCGATGCTCGGCGGGGGCCTCAGAGCGGCGTGGCTGGAGGCTCCAAGCGGCGGCGTGGCTTCCCGCTACTCGGGCCTGCGTTGCTGTTAGGCCCACCGCGCTGCGACGGAGGGCTGTGGAATTGTTGTAACCTGAGCCCGCGGAAAAAGCGGGGCCCGGGGGCCCTCAAAAAGGGCCCCGGAATTAAAAAGTGCGGGGCCTTTTTCTGGAGGCCGTGGCCCCTGGGCCTGCCACGTGGGGCCGGGCCCCGGGGGCCGGTCACGCTGCCAGCCTGGGGCCCTGCCGCCACGCTTTGGAGGTCTTTAAAGTACGGGGCGGCGGGGCCTTTGTGGTAAAGTAGGGGGTGGGGGGGGGGCTTTCTGGTGAAGTACGGGACAGGGTCGCTTTGTGGTAAAGTACGGGCGAGGCTGACTCGGTGTTAATGTTAAGGAGGCGGTGGCCCGGCGCAGCTGCCGGCATGCCGTCCTGTCGCCACACTTTTGGGGCTTCAAAGTACGGGGTGCGGGGACCTTTGTGGTAAAGTAGGGCGCGGTGCGCTAATCCGACAGCCGGCCTGGGACCCTGCCACAGCGGTGGGGGGGCCCTTCAAAGTACTGTAGTGGTAAAGTACGGGGGAGAAATGGCCAGGGGGCTTCGTGGTAAAGTGTGGGCTAGGGGGACCCTGTGTTAAAGTACGGGTGAAGGGAGGGGGTTGTGATAAAGTACAAGTGCAGGGGCCTTTGTGGTAAAGTACGGGTGGGGGGGCCCTTGTAGTAAAGTACAGGTGGCGGGGCTTTGTAGTAGTGTATGGGTGCGGCGGACTTTGTGGGACACTTCCCATGTGGGACCCTTATGGGGCGACATAGTACATTGGGGCTTCCCGGCGCACCTTCAGCAGCGTCGCTGCCAGAGCCCAGGGAGGGGGGCCGTCACGTGATTAAATCCTGTGCGGGGCCGTTGCGCTTCTGGCGTTGCCAAAGTACTGGGAAAATCCGCTCTTTGTTGGGTAAATGTGCACATTGGCGGACGTGGTGGGGCAGCGTTCACCGATGTCGGCAAAAGCATTTTAAGGGAGGGGGCGCACCAATTGTAATGTACTGGAGAGGAATCGTCATGCTTTGTGTGGCTAAAGTTCTGCACCGTGAGCTTATTTGCATGGAAAGAGTATTCCACGGCCAGTGAGAGCGTGAACTGTTTTCAAGGGCACTGAAGGGGCTCAAACTCTGAAAACTTAGACTACAGCCTTTGCGTCGAGTCGAGCATTCGGGCCACGGTTTTGAGGAATGAAGGACACTGCAGCTTTCTGGACCTTTGCTCAGCACACCGCATAGTGTTTATTGAAGCAACGCTAAAATAAACTCCACAGGTGATTTGTAGGATGTGTAGCATTCAGTTTCTGATTGCGGCCAAGTGCCGCACGCAATACTGCTTGCCTGTCAGTTGACAATTGATCAACCGACCTTAGCTGAAGGTTCGTTACCCTCTTGTTGTACTTGCAAAGAATCATAAACCTCGATCGACAGGTCCGGCTCTGAATCCCTCCTCAGAGACCTTGCGCGCAAGGCCAAGTACTCTGGCCTTTACTAATTTCCAAAAGATGATTCAAACGTGGCTCTACATTCCTTTGGAATGAAAAAGGCGGAATATATTAACAGTACCTTCCGTCTCGTACCCTATTTCGACAGCAAAGGAAGTTTTGGTTCAACCCGTGTTGTTCCCCTGGTCGATGCCCGGGCCGGGAATCGTCACCCAACGATAGCTGCTGCGACTGTTGTTCATATTTGACTCAGGCAATCCTTTATGTGCGATTGAACGGCTACTGCTAGTCCACACTGCCCCATCGACCTTCCATTCCCCGACCGTATAATCGCCTTACACTGTCTGGCAAGTCGGCAAAAGATCCCACCTGTTCAATGAGGCCCTCCCTGCTATGTCCTAACACTGCCACCTTGAAATCTGAACGATGAAATGCGAAAAAGGACTTGGAATGCAGGAACGAAAAACACAAAATATCGTTTCAATCGAAGATGTGGTCGAATTCGATATCAGGGTCCAGAATCCTGGGCCCGAACTGGCTCAGGTCGATGCCGTCTAGGATGACGTTCTCGAAGGCCTCCTCCAGCCCCGTGTCTCCTATTAGGACAGCGCCCTGCATCCTCCCCCTAAGTAGGACAACTCGCACGAAGCTGCTGTCGTCACCTTCCGTGGCTCTGGAGTAGGCGATGAGGTCCTCTTTCCGCTCGCCTTCCAACTTCTGGCCGTTGTACAGGCCCAGTAGGATGACCTTCTTGCCGAAGAAGCGGGTGACATGGGTAAACTGGCAGTCCAAAAGAAAAAGAAAACGTCAGGCAAGCGTGCCGGCGTAGCACTTAGTCCAATACACAGCTACTGACAACTGCGCCAAGTAGCACAGCACTGCCACAGTCTTTTATCCCGGCATGATACTTTAGCATCAAATTAGTGTTCAGTGGCGGTACTTTGTGAGTGTCGCAGCAATGCGTCCGCACGAAGAGTGGCAACCCAACACAGCTACTTGTCCATAAGGGAGGCTGTATGCAACCGTGTCAACCAGCTTTGGCCATCCCGCTTTCCCTGCATGCCAAACGACTAGTATACGGCCACTACTAGTAATCCCATCTGCAACGGTTCCGCTGAGACCATGGGTCGCGGCTTCGTGAGACTTGTGCCAAGCCCTAAGCAAGCGTGACTGCAGCGTCGCCGGAAAGCTGCGTCTCTGCGAGTAAACGCGTCTCCGCAGCCCTCGTCGTCCAGCTCCAAGCCCTAACAAAGCGGAGAACCTGACCGCAGACCTAACCCTAAAGTACAGGAGTCCAGAGCCCTAAAGCCTCCGCGTGTGCCTCCCGCGCACGCACCAGGGACGACGCAGCGCAAGGCACAGATGGCACGCAACTGCTCGGAAGCAGCCATGAGCGTCCGGACTCCCCCACAGTGGTGAGCCCCGTGGCGTTGGACGCCCCCGGAAACACAACTGACGCAGCGCGCAAGAGAACGGGAAGAACGTAAGAACACGGCCTGCCGCAAGAACAAGAACACAACAACCACAAGCAGAAAACGACACTCTGGCGATGCCAAACGTGATGCCAACTGACGCTAATTGATGCCATCACAGCTACTTTTATGCCAGCGCAGTCGTTGTGATGGCGCCTTTTAGTGTCGCAATGGCATTGCAGCTGGCATCGCAGAATGGTGTACGTCAGCCAGTGAACATAAGAGAACGGGAACCACACACGAAAATGGTAAGAAACATAACCAAGAGTACAACAGCACAAGAGAACAGGAACAGGACAGGAACACAATACAACAACAACAGCAAAAGAACACAACAACACAGGAGAACGAGAGACAAGAGGCGCCTAGAGGGATGCGAAGGAAAGGAGGCAGCGCGGCCGGGGGATCATCTGGTCCCTCACCAGTTCGAAGTTGAAGCCGCACTGCAGCTCGTCCGCCATGCCCGCCATGCAGCGCCCCGCGTACGCGCCCATGACCCGCGCCTGCGTCCGTAACGCACAGTTCATCGGCCGCATTCACACAAACACCCCGGACCGCCGCTCGCCACCCAGATAACTCGTTACAGATCACAATCTGCGGCAAATGACCTGGTCTGGAAAGTCGTTCCGTTGACGAAGCCTCAAGTGGCAACGCTTCTACTTGAGGTTGTTGAACTTCACTCAACAACGTTGAGCGGACCTCATGGACTGCGAGCCTAGAAATAAGAGCGTGTGGGCCGCTCAACACGAGAGCGCAGGAAAATCCGTTCACTGCTGCCCGGTTCAGCGCCACACTCAGGCGCTTCGTTTTTTCATTCTTGCCGACGGCGGCACCTATAGCGCTGCAAAAAGCGGGACAGGGCCCGCTGCGCGCCTGGTTAGGAGGCGTTTCTTCATTTGCATAACAGGTTTCTGTGTTTTCATAAGCACATCTTGACATACACACAGGCGCGTATCTAGGGCACCTCTTCATCAGTATGGCAGGGGCATTCCTTCCTTCCATGCTGCTGGACTTGGCTTTGCTACGTTCCTGGACAATTGTGTCAGGGAAGTACTACAGCGCGCAAGGCGCACAATACAGCCTCGTTTTTCCAGGTACGATTGCATTTCGTGCAAGGCTGCAACATCTTGGCCCACATGCGCGTTGCCGAAGCGCTCGCGTTCCTTTCCCCCGTCCAACCTGCGTCCACAGCCGCATCTGGAACCACTGCTGCGATTCCTCCGCCGCCCAGCCCGCGCTGCACACGTCCCCCGCCGCCCACACGCCGTCCGCACTCGTCCGCATCTCCCGGTCCACCACCAGGCCCCCGTCGCCGGCCCGCTCGATCTCGGCCGGAAGCCAATCCGTGACCGGCTCCACGCCAATGGCGCACACGACCAGGTCCGCGCCATACGACCTGACGCACAGCCAGCGGGCGGTACCGAAGCCGCACAGTCAATAGCACATACTGCTGGTTGTTAAGCCCTCCCCAAAGTAACACAACGCTTGGCCTTCTTTTGCGGAGAAAACAATAAAATCAACTACGCTCTCTTGATAGTAAAATTTTTGGGGTGCAACGTAAAAATAATAAAGGGAAAATGACAAAAGGGGGTCCTCTGACCGCTCCCTGTACATTACGCGTTTTGCCAAACTGGCGCTAGACCAGCGCCAGACCGACGCCGTACCGGCACCGGTTTGGCGCCAGACCGGATCATGGTCCTCCTAGGGGCGACCCCCCTTGGAGGACGCAGGGAGCACGCAGCGATCGGAGCTGCGGGGGAGACCAAGTGGCGACTGGGGTTGCGGGGAGAGCAAGCGGCGACCAGAGATGCGGTTAGAGCAAGGGGTGATCGGAGCTTCCTGGGAGATCAAGTGGCGATTGGAGTTCCAAGAGGGAGTTGCACAGATTGGAACGCTTGCTCGGCAACCCTGATCGCCGCTTGGTCTCCCCCACAGCTCCGACCACCACGACTCCCTCACGCAGCTCCGACCGCTGCGTGCTCCCAGCGCCCTCCCAGGGGGTCGCCCCTAGTAGGACCATGGTCCAGTCTGGCGCCAGACCGGTGCCGGTACGGCGCCGGTCTGGCGCCGGTCTGGCAACGCGCCTAATGTACAGGGGGCGGTCAGAGGACCCCCTTTTGTCAAATGCACCCCCGCAGAGGACCCCCTTTTGTCAAGATATCTCATAGAGGGCCCCCTTTTGTCATTTTCCCAATAATAAAAATAGCGCTCTGCAAAACAAAATGAGGAGCAAAAAGTGTATCGGTAAATTCTCCGATGCGGAGGGGTTTAGGAACCCAAGGTATGCGGCACATATCTGTGCAGTTTGGTGTCCTGGGAAAGGGGCTACTTTTGTCAAAAAAGTCGACAAAGCATGAATGGCCCTTGGGCTTGCAGGTGGATAGGGGGCGCAGTTGGAAGCCAGGGCTGGAGGTTTCCAACCGAGACTGAGTGTGTGGACGCGCACTCCAACACAACCTTTTGATCGAATCGGTCCAGAAGTGGCACAACAATGCCCCCGCACTTGCGAGACGACGCCTGGTACGCCTGCGCGTGCTGAGTGTCCAAAACTAGCACAAGGGGATTGCAATGGTCCAATAAAAAGCAAGGATATTAAAATAAGTTGCAATAGAAAGTGGCTATAGTTGCAGCATATAAGTTGCATACGCAGGCCAAAGCTGCAATATTCAGTTGGAACATGTAGCATCTACGGGTAGTCGCAAGCTATGGTAAGCCATTGTACACAGTGACTGCACTGGTCCAAGAGTGGCTAAGCGGAGACAATCTCTTCAGGCGACGTCCGGCGCACGCGCTCGTGCAGTTCGCCCACGACGCGTTCGCCGCTGAGGCCAAGGGCGAAATTACCTGCCGCTGGTGAGCTCGACTTCGACAGGCCACGGCGACCGGGCGTCGGCGGGCTGGCGGATCGATCCGACGATCGCGTTGGGCTCAAGCGTGACTTGGGGGGCTGCGGCCCTGGACGGCAGCGCGGACGTCCACTTGGGCCCCACCGCGTGGCCGTGGGGGACGCGCGGCCAGCCCTGCCGCGCAGACCCTGCGGCAGGCCCAGGGCCTGCGCGAAGCGGGAAGGAAGTGAGCGGAAGTTCGTCCGACACGCATCGTGTCCGCAGTAAAGGATTGTGAAGGTTGTGAAGGTCATGAAGCGCACAACGGCCCTAAAAAACTACACCTGCAAATGTTCGAAATCCGAAATGGCCTTCATGATCTTGAACAAAGGGTATCAGACATTTGTGTGTGAGTGGACGTCCTGTTGGGCCTGTTGCTGAAATTGTGGGATTGTCGCAGCTTGGTTGCAAACGTGCAGAGGCATGGTTCGTCATTGGGTCTTATGGCCAGTGCAATCATTCCAAGGAACTGACTGTCCAGGTAAGAGCGCAGCGCTATGGTGGCCCTGGGGAGATGCCACGAGAGGATTGCAAAGAGATGGCTGAGCACCGTCACACTCCAAATGTCCATCGGAGGTTGAAAGCATTCTGGAGTTGAAAGTACGGTGCACACGCAGAACTGGAGCTGCTCACAAATGGGGCCAGTCTCGCAGTTAATGCAATATCTTCTTCTTGCATGTGTTGGATGGACGAACCCTACCCTGCACTGGCCGCTCTTGCTCTGGCGCACCCCTCCCTTTGCCAGCGTCCTGGTCATCCTCAGACATCTGCTTGCCGATGCACGATCCCTGTTGCCCTGATCGTCCTTTCCTCAGCTCATCCAGAAGGAACTGGGCAGCATCGATGTCAAAGAATGCGTCGCCGATGTGGCCATGCTTCAAGACCCAGATAACCTCCATTCCTCCCAGCCCCTGGCTGACCCAAACACTCACAAAGATGAAAATGGGCAGGGATGCAATCAAATGGCAGAAGCAGTAGACATGATAATAAGCAGCGTTCACCCCTCTTCAGTCTGCCAAAGTATGGCGCAGCAGGGAAGTGAGTTTCTTGGACTACAGAGCCTATCCAGGGCAAAACAGTGCCCCTGTACTGTGGTGATGGGTGCATACCTCAAAATGCATGCATATCCCCTCGTTGGTTTGCAAATTAGTGCTCCAGTCAGCTACACGATGCACCATTGGCAGTCCGAAGGAAACGGTTCTGGACGAGGTACATTGGTAGGCACGCAGGCTGGCAGGGAAGCTCATCTTGGCGATCAGTCACAAGGTATGGTGATCTGTTTGCGAATGCTTACTACTGCTGTGGTGTCACAGATTGGAGCGCTGGCGATTGCCAGCCATTGTCATCCCATCCGCAACCCATCAACAACCGACCTGATGACTAATGAGGCAGGTCTCCCACAACCCCTCCCCTCACGCACACACACCAACCACATAGCTTCCTCACCAATGTAACAACTATGCCGATGCCTGCATAGCACCTGGCAGGTTGCAGAGCCACTGTTTGCCTTGACAGTGTTGGCACAGTCAAGCCAGATGCCCACAAGAACTCAGGATGGTTCTGAATGGGTTTGCAGTGGACAGCCACCTTACATTGTTTCTAGTGCGATGCCTCCATTGCCGACCACCACCACACGTCGCGCCCCAGCAAGTCGAGTGCACAGGTCCTGTGAATAAGCACACCACAGTGTATAGTCAGCCACGTAGCATTGGGGTTGCAGAATGCAGACAGGTCACAAGCTACAAGGACATTCCCAATGCATGCGATTATCCAGCATTTCTCAGTATGCTTAACTATAGATTGGAAATAGCTATCCATGTTTAAGTCGCTAAAAAATACTGAAAATCGCACATTGGCAACATGTCCTGTTGTGTGGCTGGGCTGCACCCTACAATCTCCACTGCAGGTGTCCTTGGCCACTCATTTAATGGTGCCAGAGTGTCATAGAGTTCTTGGAATATCCGCATGCAAGAGGTTTTGTGGATAGGTTGCAGGATTAATTTGCAGCGATCTGCAACCACAGCTGTCATGATGAAACATAATAAGTTGATTCTTGCTCCAAACAATGAATGGCGAACTCTTAGATGTAAGAACTGTGTCCAATCCCCTGTACCCTTGTGTCTGGAATTGCAGCTAGAATGATGGTGTCTTCTATCCCCAGGGCCTTCTGTATTTCTCTGTATCAGCATTTCCAAATGTCTTTGGTTGCTTGGTTCAAGATGCCACACACACACTGTCGTCGGCACAACAATCCTAGCACAATCAATGTGATTCCTGTGGTCAGCCCACCTTTCAGATTTGACAACTGAAGGATGCGCCAGGAGCTTCAAACAGATCATAGCAGACTTGACCGCACGCTGACATTGGTTATCATCAGGACACATACACTTGTACTTTCGAACGCTCACACATTGTCCACTGTCAACAACCATTGTGGGCTGTTCCAACCAGCAGGGCAATTCTATAGACATCACTCCCCACTCCTGCACCCCCCTTTCCCATTGACCACATTTGCAATCGTCTTGATCAGTCTTCCTGCTCAGTTTCGTACTTCCATTCACAGTGACACTACAAGTTACATCGATTGAGCACTCGGCATAGTCTTTCATTGACCAGCATGGCCTCTGCCACCCCATATCATTCACCTCAACACTTTGAGTGTCCCTCAGGGTCAGCACGTAGTCACTGCTCCCCAGAACCTGTCCATAATCAGCAATGAACTGAACTTCATTGTGTGAGACGACACAATGTCATTCACCAGCACCAACACCGAGGACAGGAATCCATTTCCGATTTGCTGCGAATGAGAGTACTGAGGGGTTACCAAGAAACGAGCCCATTGGGATTTTCACGGTGTTCGTGTACTTTTCCTGGGAGCACAGAAGCCATTCTACTCTCACTGCAGGTGCGAGGTGTGGGGCACCACATCTGGTCGCCTGGCAATGTAAATGCTCACAATCGTTTCACATATCAAGGCGCAGATGAGCAACAATTTGAGCTGTGCTGCTCGATCACTTCTGGCAACACCGCTGCACAGGTGGAGACAGCTGATATTTGGCAGTTGGCAGGGATATGGCAAGCCCCCACATCCTGTCAGGCACACTTCTCATTGCCAAACGCACTTGCTGCTAACAAGTCCTAGTCGTCAACATCAAATTAGATACAAGCGGTCTTCACATGATATTTTCCGTGAGGAAACTAAAAGGAAAGTTGCGGATAAACTACATTTACCCACCTTTGGCCTGGCTCCGACACAGATACACAGCTGGTCATATGAAACATTCTCCCCTGAAGCCAGAGCCAGTACCTGAAGGCAGTGGCTCACATTATAACGTGGATCCACGAGCTTGAGGGTGATTCAGGTCACACCAGTGGTGTGTTCCTTGCAGGAATGTTGCTTTCAGTGTGGAGATTAGTGAATACAGGCAACATCAACTGTGTGCGATGACTGCACCTGAATGCATGGTGATCCTAGGAGCAACACAGTGCCCAATGGGATCTGCTATCATGATAATGGCCAACGTCTAACGTCGCCTCGTCGTTGCTGAGACAAATGTGTGACTATGTAACAACATGGATTCGCACAGTGCGGTTCAAGCAGGTAGATTCTAGCTCTGTTACAGTGCAATGGGACAGCCCACTCCTGGAAAGAACAAATTAACATTTGCAAACAACTCAGCAGCTAACACAGGTTATGAGCATCTGTACCACAACAAACACATGCTGAACACTAAACCAGCCATAAATGTTCCCCAACCCTGACAACATAAGCACAATCCTGATAGACTGTGACGAATCCTCTTAAGGCACAGCAACTGTGCCAACAAGCGGTACATGGTCACCTTGGCTTGCGTGTCCAGTGATTTGGCTGTCCCCTGCACCACCCGGAGGTTCTTGTATGGCAGTGTGTGCAAGTCTCTTTCAACGACTGTCATGCCACCACCCCATCAAAAAGTTAGCAAGGTCGGTTTGCTTGACACCTCTGTGTGCAAAATGGCTCGTCACAGCACTTCCACCACCAAATCGACCTAATGCAAGACTTCTTTGAACATGGCTGATACAGCAAAGCACGGGAGCGGGGTTGTACAGAATGAATGATACCACGCATGTCATGAGAAGCTTGGCATCCAATGGAAAGGGAACTGGCCTATTCAAACAAACGTGCAAGCTACGTTGGACTTCATTGAGGAAGCTCTGCTGTTTGGAGCTTCCCTGGGAATAGAGGAGCAGTTTTTCACCAAGAGGAAGCCATTCAATGTCTTGGAGGTTGTGGAAATTTAGTCATTATCTCCAGCCCATCATATGCCATATAGAGGCTGGGGACTGATGTCCGGTAGCTCAAGCAAATGCCAGCACGCAAGAGGAAAATTGTGAGTCTCTTGTCAAATCAAGTGCCTGTGATTTCCTTCCTTGTCCGCTGGTGACAATAAGCCACTGCTATTGACCATACGCCTGCATAGCATTCAGTAGACACATACACGAGCTCTGTTGAGTCCGATTTCTGGCAGCAAATGCCTCCAGTCAGTTTATCTGATTTGCTGGTGGCCGCAGTTGTCCAGAGGCATGCGCGCCACAAGCAGGGTCAAGATGCTGGCCCCTCCAGCTATTAGCTGCACAATCGCGACAATCTGGAAGAGGACAATTACAATGGGCACCATGATCTGGACATCAGGACACCGACATTCAAGACACGATCAATCCATTCCCTGGCGAAGTGGGTGCAAGCCTCCATACCAATACTCAGCACCGCTTTGCCCAAAGGTAGTTGATTTGCATAAAGACAACAGGGACAGGGTCCGAAAAAGGAGGGGGCCATTTTTCTATCTCACATCGACAGCCGATCTCCTCGCCCAAATGAAGGAAGGTATGCATCGTTTATGACAGCATGAACAATGCCACATAAGTCACAGCTTACATCTAAACTTCCTCAGACTATTAGATGGCATCAGCTTATGCAACAGTCTGTAAGGACCTCACATTGCTTGGCAAAAGATACCTACCCAAGAATTCTTCAATGTTCCTTGTCAGATGCACGACATTCTCCACACCCTGCACATGTGCAGTCCTTGGAATGGTTGGCCATCAAGGAAATAGGGGTTGACAAATGGTTTGGATGCGTAATGCCCACCACTGTCTACGTTGTACAGGGACTGGTTTCGCATTGAATTGGCAACAACAATCAGCAAGCATAAACATGTGCATTTATGAGCCCCTTGCAATGAACACCCTGGTTAGACCGTGGTGTTTTGGGACTGAAAAGAAGATTTGCGATGCATTCTGCGTGGGACTACACAAAGATCCAGTAATGTATCACGGCCTGAATCATCAATGTCTCAAACTAACGACAGGCTGCACAACAGACAGTACATCCCATCAACTTTTCTCCAGGGGTTTGGCTTTGCCAACATGATCTTCGATTCGCAAATAAGTTGTCACAGAAAGAGCCTCCACTCCCCAGAAAGAATACACCGCACCCATTTCCTTCCAGAGCTGAATGAACAGCCCCTGGCAATCCCCTGCGTACCGGAAGCTGTGCAATGCTGGTGGGGATCGGCTGCCACTCGCCCAAATGCCATCCAACGATACCGTACTTTGGCGACCATGCACATCTAATGCTGGACACTGTTGCCGGACTTACGCAACGTCGACTTGCACAAGCAAAGGCAACGCTGAATCTTTTTCGCATCTTTTTCGACAAACACAACCGCAAACGACAGTACGACAGTCTGCAATGCGACAATCGACGAATGCATTGCGGCATTTTGCGCGCAAGCGCCCACCTTGAGAACCGCGGAGGCCGAGACGATCGTCACGTCGTCGTCGGGCAGGAGGCGGCACAGCTCCTCCGCGCAGCACACGCCGGCGATGCCGCCGCCAAGCACGACCCGCCTCATTCGAGGCGCGCCCACACCCTCGCAGTGCGCGGGGCAGGGATGGACGGGCACTGCCCGAAAGCCAGCAAAAATGAATGCCACCTCCCCCTTCCGAGCGTGTGCAGTTGTATCATTAACGCATAAAACAACGACATTAAATGGAAAGGTGCGTAGACAGTGACTATATGTACGGCAGCCATCTTTCGGACTAACTTCCGCATAAGCAATGCTTTACGCCAGCCAGCAGTAGCAGATATCCTCGGAATCTATTTCCAAGGAGGGGAGGCGGCCCTCGTTTAAGTCCCCTCAAAATAACAGCGCAATGTGGAAAAGCATGGCCGACGACGCTAGATCAGAGTCTTGACATATTCAGCTGCTGCCCAGTGACCACTTGGATTCGTATTTCATCGAAATTGGTTTGGCGTTGAAAAGAGATCTTGGGAGCAGCTGGTTCTCAAATGTCCTTTGGCTGCCTTTAAGGCTGCCTGTAATAGAGACCGGCACTTGTGCGTACCCACGTACCAATAGGTACGCACAAATGCCGGCCCTTAAGGCAGCCAACGCATATTCCAATAACTTCTAGTACGGGTCGACGTTGTGTCAGGGCAGGTTTACCGGAAACGTGGCAACAAGAAAAGACACAAAGGAATAGCGGTGGGAGAGCGTACAACATGAGAACGCCAATGACCAAATGCAAGCAATTAGAACAACCAAAGACAACAGGATTGAGTTGACTGCGCTCAAAGCCCTCAATGCTGAGAACTCTTCCAACTACGCTCTATTCCGCCACAGCTGAAACTTCGCCAATCGAACATTGAAATTCGAGTTCACGCCACCAACACTGTTTTGCGCGGCAACAACAGGCCCGGGAAAATAGGCTGATGGCCTTGACCAGACCGACACGCGGGTCGGTGGTGCAGCGAGGTGGTGGCCCCAAAGCAACGCCAGAATGGCGTCACGCCCAAACTAAATCGTCAAGTGGGATTGGATAAGTGTGCTACAAATTGAAGTGCGGCATGTATGACTGCTTGTCCGATATTTGCAGCCGCCAAGTGTGATTATGAGAAAGAGGATGCAAATTTCGGTCTGCGACATGTGAATGAAAGGCGACATCAATCTATAGAATATGTAACGGTATTTTCAACGGTTGGAGTTGATTTTCTCTGAATAGACAATTGAATGCTGACGCTGTCTATTTAGAGCAGGCTTGGTTTTTACGCCGTAAAAACTGACCGTATTTACGTTTTTACGCGTAAAAACAGTTTTTACGTTTTTACGCGTAAAAATGCGTAAAAATACGTAAATACAACGTAAAAACTGCCCGGTGTACATAAGGACAGTACATACAGACTTACGGAGTCCGGAGAGTGGCAGCCAGACGCCCTGGAAGGGGCAGGAAACGAGTTCTTGTCAAACACCATCATCGCCCTTGCCAAGGGCGAGGTGGACACTGTGTTGCGGGTGCTGGATATGGCGGAAGACTGATCATTGTACGCAACTTTCATCACGTAATTTGGGCGTCCAAGGGTGCCGTAAAAACGTAAAAATAGCCGTAAAAATAGGGTCTTTTGCAAATTTACGTTTTTACGCGTAAAAACGTAAAAGTAAAAACGTAAACGTAAACGTAAAAACCAAGCCTGATTTAGAGGATACGGCATGAGTTCGTGCCTGCACATTTTCTGTCTTTCACTACTCAGAGGTGCTTGAACACCTTCGAATCATGCATTAAGGAAGTTTTGAAATTTCAACAGACAGTGAGGTTTTCGAAAATTTTGGGAAACTTTCAGGTCTTCTGACGCATGTACTGGCTGCGCGATATTCAATCCTGCGTGTGTGTTTCCTTGACTACTTTAACGTAATGTATGAATAAAATATTTTGATCTTCGAAGGACTTCCGGCGTGTACTGAAGAGAAAATAGCTGTGAACTCGCAGGATATGAGAGATGCTGGAGAAAGTCTCAGGTGATTAGACGTTGCAACAACCGCATGTTTTCGGTCCACCGTTGAGGGAATTGAAGGGAGATGCACAGGCGTGTTTCTCGCTGGCTCAAAGCACCTTGATCAATGAGGATGATCGTGCAGTGTTCTCAATTTTCCGCCGATTTCAGTCATCCATGTTTCAATGGAATTACGCCAGGGTGTTTGTCACTTGGAACACGTGTATGGTGGCGTTCATCTCATTGGGATTCATACGTTTCTGTTTGCATCTCATACAACAGACAGAGGAATTTCCATTGAGATTAGGTGATCGAATGTCCCACTCAAATCTCCAAATCCCGGAAATTAGAAATGAGCGCGGCTGTCCTCAGCCAATTTGCCATTACAAGTAGCCTCATCTTTTCTAAGGAACGAGTAGGAATACGAAGGAGAACAGACTGCGATACGTGCGTTTCCAATAGCGTGCTATTTGCGCATGTCATTCTTCAGCCACTGATTTGTGTCTGAGCGATGCGGTGCGATGAATTGAAAACAAATGGCACAGCAGGCGCAATATAACGTTTCGAATCTGAACGAGATTGGTAGCTGATATCGAGTCAGGCAGTCTGTTTTATGGATGTCGCGCCTTTTGCCTTCGTTAGTTTGCCGCCTACAGATGAGTTGATTGAAGATTCGCTAAAGGCTGCATTGACGGCACTTAACTCCGTTTATTGATACCTGTGCCACTTGTACCTGTAGGTATTAACAACTCTCACGTGTGCTGCACTCGCAGAGGCACCGCAAGTGCCTGAGGATCCTTCTGGCAGCCGGATTCGTCACCTCGGCTGGATTAGTTGTCGCACTGTACACCCACCCCGGACTTGGGACGCCCCTTTGGCTTTCGTCCACCCCACGTAAATTTCCAAGCCTTGCTTCGGACCCCGCCATTTTTGAGCACACCGCACACTCGGTAGGGGCGCCAAGAGTCACGATGGTGGAAAGGATGCTGTCTGTGGGGGCCGGTCGCCGCGGTTTTCAAAACAAGTCCGGCGTCGTGAACCCAGAGTATTGGGAAGACTCCTTCGCTTTGAAGAGAGGCAAACAGTTCGACGACTGGATGGGAAGGAATTACCTTGGGCAGATTCCAGCCAACTCGAGCGATTCCAATGCGCTCCATCCACCCACGCCTTACCCCCACTGCCAGGTCTTCGTGAACCACCACTACAGGTTCATTTGGATCAAGGGCCACAAGGTGGGCAGCACCGCCATGAGGGGCTCCCTTGGCTGGATCTGCAACGACCGGTGGAACGTTCCGGAAGACGCCGACTTCTCAAAGTGCTCGGAGCCTTACTACTACACCAAGAGGCTGGTGAGGCCAGACGAGATCTGCCGGATCTGGAAGGACTACTTCGTGTTCGGCACGGTGCGGAATCCCTTCACCAGATTCGCCAGCGCCCACAATTACGTAAACGGCATGATGCCGGAGGACTGCCGGCGGCTGAATTTCGGAGACACGTGCCGCCGGCCGTATCTGCACGCCAGGGAGTGCCTGGCGGGCTGCGGGTCTTGCTGGCCGGGCCAGGTGGCCCACAACGCGCGGCACTTTGGCGAACAGGCGGCGTGCCTCTTCGCAGATGACGGGAGGCCGGCCGTCGATTACATCCTGGAGATGGAGAGGTTGGGCGAAGACCTGAAGACTGTGCTGGCAGAGATCAATGGGAGGAGGGGGGAGGGGCTGCCGCCGCTGGTGGAGAGGGCGTTCTTCTCGAACGTCAACGAGGAGGGGAGGCGGGGGAGTGGCGAGCGCGTGGCCGGCAATTATGTGCGCATGTTCGCTGATGAGTACGGATGTTTGGAGAGCGTCATGAAGGTGTATGACAGGGATTTTAAGTTGCTTGAATATGACGTGAGGGAGATTTGATACGGGCGCTGATTCTGTATGAGGGGCCGGAGCGAGGATATGGAGGCAGACGATCACCAGCGAAGAAAATTATCTGTAGTACCCCGCCCGGACCACGGCTGTTGCAATGGGTAGTCGCTGCCGATCGTGCCGCATACCTGGCACCTATGGCGGCTGAGCTTACCTGTCGAGCCTTTCATGACTGGGGGAAACCCGCTCTGCTGTTGTCGCTGATACTGAAATTCAAAGACGCAGAATGAGCTGACGTCGGCACCTGAGCCAGTGAGCACCAAGGTACTACTAACATCAGTAGAAAACACCATTTGTCGCTGCCAAATGAGTTACCATTTGATAACAATTGACGCCATATCACTTGCTTTTATATCATCCCAAACACTGCGATTCCGCTACTTAGTTTCAATATGGCAAGGCAGTTGGCATCGAAAAAATGGCGCTACCCGCTAGTGCAATGGAGAATTTGCGATGGAAGAATGTCTAATGAGTTCATATGTCCTCACTGGATTTTGGCGCTACGGCTTGTGGGCCCCTTCGCACTCCTGGGCGTACAAGAAAGTCCACAGTACAAAATGGCTGGGTAGAAGGAAAGGGCGACTGCACATATTCCTCATATTTCTCAATATGTAGATCATGTTAGAACAAAAGATGAGCACTGCAAAATCAATCGATTCAAGTCTTTAGGACACGGAATCAGGATTATATTTTCTGACCTTTAAAGGTCACAGTAACCCCACGATGAGCGGTTTGTCGGAGTGCGAATCCCTGCAGCGTAGAAACAGCACACATCAGCAGAAAACGACAGTTTTGCGGTGTCTTTTGACACCAATTGATACTATCGCAGGTGCTCTTACACCGTCGCAATCGCTGTGACGGCCCCATGTACTGTCATATGGCCCCGCATATTGTCAAATGGCATCGCAATACGCGTCGCAAGTTTTGTGTTTCTGCCAGTGGCATGTGGGCTTCCATTGCCAAAGTGGCCCCGATCAGGGTTACGCTTCCCCCCCAGCATTTTGGCGCGGGAGTGGGACAACTCCGCCCCCTCGCCGCAAAGCCAGCATAGGTACGTCCAGATACTGTTCCAGGGCGTGGCCGACCTGCTGACTGATTGGTTGAACGGTGATCGGAGCTCGCCGCAAAGGGAGGCACCGGTTACTTGGAAATCAGTGGCTGAGAACATGCGCAA